TCTGGTCATCCCTGTACTGTGTCCGCAGTCTCTGGTCATCCCTGTACTGTGTCCGCAGTCTCTGGTCATCCCTGTACTGTGTCCGCAGTCTCTGGTCATCCCTGTACTGTTAATTAGTTTGCACTACTGTACGAGTTGTTTTTTCTAAACCAAAAGCTCGATATTCAGGTTTCATTGCAGTGTTGGCACTTTGAAAGAAATAAGTTGGTTTTGGGTTGCAGTTTGGGCACTCGGGCTCAAAAAGGTTCGCCATCACTGACCTAGGGCATCACTAGATACTCCGGCCTTGTTAACTATAAGCTCTGAGGCCGAGTTAACTCAATTGGTACCTGCAGCTTACCACAAATTCCTGGACGTGTTTAGTCCACGGGGGGCAGAGGTTCTTCCCCCACATCGGGCCTATGATTGCCCCATCGATCTGCCCCCAGGCTCCGAGATTCCTTTCGGCCGCATTTTTCCCTTATCTGAGCGGGGGGAACTAGGGGCCTTAAGAGAATATATAGATGAGAGCCTCCGGAAGGGATTTATCCGCCCTTCCACATCCCCGGCCGGGGCAGGGATTTTCTTTGTTGAAAAGAAGGATGGATCCCTGAGACCGTGTGTTGATTACAGAGACCTCAATAAGATTACGGTCAAAAACCGCTACCCCCCTTCCTTTGGTCCCAGAATTGTTTCAGAGATTGAGGACGGCATCCATCTTCTCCAAGTTGGACCTCAGGGGTGCCTATAACTTGGTTCGGATACATGAGGGGGACAAGTGGAAAACGGCGTTTCGCACTCGGTTCGGACATTTTGAATGTCTTGTCATGCCTTTTGGGCTATGTAATGCACCGGCCACCTTCCAGCACTTTGTCAATGACATTTTCAGGGACTTTCTGGATATCTTTGTCATTGTCTATTTGGACGATATCCTGATATTTTCCTCTTCCCTGGAAGCACATCAGGGACATGTTAAGAGTGTGCTGGAACGCCTCCGTCAGCATGGCCTTTATGCGAAAGCCGAGAAATGCTGCTTTGAACAGGAACGCATTTCATTTCTTGGTTTAATAATCTCCACTACGGGGATTGCTATGGACCCACAAAAGATCTCGGCCATCCTGGAATGGCCTGCCCCCACAGATAAGAAGGGAGTTCAGAGATTTACTGGGTTTGCCAATTTTTATAGAAAGTTCATAAAGAACTTCTCAGGCCTGGTAGCGCCCATTACCCAGCTCACCAAGGTAGGAGTACGTTTCCAATGGACCCCAGCTGCACAGGCAGCTTTTGACGTATTGAAAAAACTATTTACAACGGCTCCCATTCTGAGCCACCCTGACGCATCACTGCCCTACATACTAGAGGTAGATGCATCAGAAGTGGCTGTTGGAGCAGTATTGTCACAGAGGGTGGGGCCAGGGAGCTAATGCACCCAGTGGCTTTTTTCTCCAGGAAGCTATCCCCTTCTGAAAGGAACTACGATATTGGGGATAGGGAGTTACTAGCCATTAAGACAGCTCTGGAGGAATGGCGTTATCTGCTAGAGGGGGCCCTACACCCTATTCTGGTCTATACTGACCACAAAATCCTGGAGTATTTAAAAACAGCCAAACGCCTCCGTCCACGCCAGGCCAGATTCTAAACCAGCTCACCCCTGTGATGTGGTGAAATGTATGTGTGTGTGTCATTGCATTAATGAACAGCTCTCTTTAATGAATGTGTCTGACCCTGTCAACACAGAATATTTGTTTCCCCTGCAGCACGCTGTAGTTCCTCTTGCTATCCTGTACATCCTATATGGACCTACAAGCCAATGGAAGGAGCCACAACATGCTGCAGGGGAGCAGGTATTCCACACACCCTGGCTGCTGGGTTCAGACACTAATCGATGGTAAGGTACTGTAAGTATATGGGGGTTGATTTACTAAGTCTTGAGAGTGCAAACTCTGGAGCACCTCAGTATAGCAGCCAATCAGCTTCTAACTTCAGCTTGTTCAAATAAGCTTTGACAATAAAACCTGGAAGCTGATTGGTTTCTATGCAGAGCTGCACTAGATTTTGCACTCTCCAATTTTAGTAAATAACCCCATTGCCTCTTTTAGCAGGTGGGCTTGGCATCCAATTGACCCTGTGCTGTCAGGTCACTTTAACTTTCCTGTAGATTAAAAAGAGGAACACTAAAGTGTTCTGAAAATGATAATAAATAAAATACTCTAAAGCGATCCAACCTTTCGATACAGTTTTTACACTGAAGTATCTAATGGACTGTTGTGACGGCCCTGCTGTACCATCTCTAGATTATCCAAGACTGAATGTCTGATTTTAGAGCTGTCAACACGGGATGTATCAAAACACTGATCTGATTGTTCATCAAGCATAAAGGAACATTTATGGGAGGGCCCTATCAATGAGGAAATCCTGGTGATTGCATCAGATGGCATCAGGTGGAGGGGTGGCCATACCTTTGACAGATCGCCTTAGGCATGTTCTACATTTTACCGAGCCTGTGGAAAAAGTACGGTGAGAAAATGTGTCTTGGGACTTGAACAATGATGTTGTGTTAGTTAAAAAGAACCATTAATAACTCAGAGTTGTACAACAATGAAGTGTAGACTCAGAATGGAGATTTGGTATGGAAACTGATTTCTGAACACACAAGATTGCAATTCAGATGTTTCTGTTATACAAAAAATACCTTGTTTAAATGCCACTTGATTTCTGCAAGGACTGTAGATATTATACATATATTTTGCAATGATACAGAGATCTTACAATTGTCATGAAAGAAATAGTAGATTGTCATTTCTAATTTCCATCTAAGTAGGCAATTTACCTGGCTTCAATACTATGGGGTTGATTTACAAGCCTTTCACATACCCATTCGCCAAGCGAAAGTGCATGTGCATTGATTCTGTGAGAATAGGGCAAAAAATGGATTTAAAACAGAAAATACCACATTTTGCCACTAGTAGGATGTGAGTATCATACAAATTTCCCATATTTGTTAGCCTCATCTACTGGTTAATGTGGCACTTTCCATTGAAAATCAATTATTTACATTTAAGCAGCACATGATATGATATGGTATATCATGATATGATATATTTACGTTAGATTTTGCCTCATTCCCACAGAACAAATGTACATGCACTTTCATTGGGCGAATAGCTATGTGAATTCTTTATAAATTGACCCCCTATAAGCCACAAACCAAAAATTCAGAATTCATTATCGCTATACTTGTATCTGGTTATTGACCCTGAAAGTATTGAAGCAAAAAAATCTACATGATAGGCAAGCATAATTTTCAGGAGGAGGGATCTGCAATGGGAACCTTAATTATTTCTCAAGTGACAGGTTTGCTTTAAAGGTTAAACTTCAAGTGTTATGCAGTAAAGCATGCTTGTTATACTTACGTTGGAACCTAACGGGTTAATCCTCTGCATTGTGTAAAAAGGCTGTTTGATCCTGACTTCTCTGCTCCTCCTCTTGTTCAAATGTCCACTCCTTATAAGACAGACTGAACCATAGCCATTCTGCACATGCTCAGTTTGGTGTGTATTGCTATAGAGGTTTTTTTTCTTTCTTGGGAGAGTACATGTGATCAGCACAGGGCCAATCAGCACTGTCCAGACAGAGGTCAGGGGTTTTACATCCTCCAAGAGCAGAAAGAAAATTCCTTCTACAAGCTTTAACCAGAGCTCTGCTGGACACTGATAGAAGTCACAAGACTGCTCTAACTGCTGATGAGAAAAGGTATATAGCAGTTCATATTTACTAAAATAATTGCGCTACCATGTTCTGTGTACTGTGGGAGACCAGATATAGTGAATGCAGGGTTCTAGGTTTAGTAACACTTTAATTATTTTTTTTTATCAGCAGAAGCAATGGTGCCTACATTGAATGAGAAGTGTCCGTTGTGCTAGTGGCTGCTCTGTTTGTTTAAATCTCCAGTCCTCTGCTCTCCTGCATACCCCCACAATGATGATCTTCAGGTGATGTGGGGGTTAATATGAGCCACTGGACACTAGTCACCGTTTCTACCCCCCCCCCCCTCTTCCTTCGTTCATGGAATCTGTACTATCAATTCCAGTAATAAAAAGCACTCTATTGATGCAGGAGGTGGACCCTTTATTCATTCATCTGCTCTCCATTTATTGTTGGAATCTATAGTACAGCTTCTATGAATGGAGGAGGGGCTGGAAAGAATAGACATAGTTGGCACTTTTGACAAATGCCTATGATAGGTCTAGTGGCTCATATTCACCCCCACAGCACCAGAAGATTAATACTGTGGGGGTATGTAGGGCAGAGGAGAGAAGATTTAAACTAACAGAGCAGCCAGAAGCACAAGGGACAGTTTCCATTCAACGCATGCACCGTCCCTTGTGCTGATTTAAAAAAAATACCTAAACTTAAACTTTAAAGTGGATGGAAACTCTGCTAGACAACTTTTAGTTTGTTAGAGCATAGTGTACCATGAAAAAAATAAAAATGTTTGTTCAAAAAAAGTTTTATTTTTTCATTCTTTAGATACATTAGAAGATGGAGTATGCACAACAAACACATATATATTTATTTTACACTATGACTAAAAATAGTATATTAGTCCATGACAGTATGCATATGTACAGTATATGATTACTAGCCCTTCGAAAGAGCAGTACTTGGTGATTAAGCTTCACTCTTGTCATAGTTTGCCATTTATTGGGCTTCTCTTTAAGCAGGGAAATTACTCATTTGACAAAACGACTCTTGGGGGAGGGGGTGTAGAATTGCACTTTGTCTTCTAATCTGTCCCCAACACATACATGCACAAAGAAAACCATTTTGAACAACTACAGATAAATATTAATTGCCTTATCCCATTTATCGAATCCACCCTTTAATCCAAAACTTCAAATAATTTAATCCCCTATTTAGTTAGTTTGTCTTTTCTGCAATCAGTCAGTTGGACATTGCATGAACATAGCTGTTCTTGCACCATGACCACACATTGTATATACTTCATTTGTCAGCCAACCCATTGTGTAGAGGCCACTTCGGAAGGAACCTTTTCCACCACATCCTTTTGCTTCTTCCTCAGGTTTAGAAGGTGATTCTTGTGCTGAAACATCACTACAAGGTGTGTCATCTTTAGACTTCTCAACATCTGAAGGGTCTTTAGATGTAGGTTCAATAGGAGGGTCATTTGGCAAAGTCTCCCCTTCGGCCTCTTTTTCTGGTTCCTCTTCTGTTTTTGTTTCCTTTTGACCGTTTTCAGCAGAAGAATCTACTTTCTCGTGTCTTGCAAAGAGAAATTCCCACATGTGTGCACAAGTCATTGGCTCTTTCTTAAGACTTTTGGCCTCTGCTGGAAACAATGGCGCCATGCAGTTATGTATCTGTTCTGCCACTTCCCCCTCCATGCTCTTTAGTTTTTCTTGGTATTCTTGTTGAAGGTCTTTCTGAGTCTATTTAAAACACACAATATTGATCAGTTATATTCCTTGCTTTATATTTATGTCAATGTTATTAAAACTGGCATTTAATTTCAAAAGTGGAAGAAATCCAAAAGCTTGTGAACCTTTTTGGACTGGGTGAATATTCACAACAGATGTGCTTTTCAAATCAGTTGATTTGTTGGCTAATGTATAGTGAATGTGTGGTGAATCCATGATTTAACCCTTTACATTCATTTTTTTTTTTTTTTTTTTTGGGGGGAGGGTGCTATTTTTTGTGTGGGTTTTTTTTCCTTAAATAGTCCTGTGAGCAATTAATATTTTAAGTGATTAAAGGCATATTTCTTTTTGTAAAATAACAAGAATATTATACTACCTACTCTGTACAATAGTTTTGCACAGAGCAGCTCCAATCCCCCTCTTCTTGGGTCCCCCACCGACACTCCTGGCCCCTCCCTTCTGCCAAGTGCCCCCACAGCAAGCAGCTTACTATGGGGGCACCCGAGTAGGCTTGCCCCTGAGCTGCTACTCTGTGTGTCTATTCCTGTACAGTCATGGTCACAGTACAGGAGATGGTCAGAAACTGTGGATAGGATACAGGAGACTGCAGACAGGATACAGGAGACTGCAGACAGGATACAGGAGACTGTGTACAGGACACAGGAGACTGCGGACAGGATACAGGAGACAACGGACAAGATACAGGAGTATGCGGATAGGATACAGGAGCCAACGGACAAGATACAGCAGTCTGCGGATAGGATACAGGAGACAACGGACAAGATACAGGAGTCTGCAGATAGGATACATGAGTCTGCGGATAGGATACAGGAGACTTTGGACAGGATACAGGAGACTTTGGACAGGATACAGGAGACTGCGGGCAGGATACAGGAGTCTGCGGATAGGATACAGGAGACTGCATAAAGGACACAGGAGACTGCGGACAGGAGACTTCCGACAGGATACAGGAGACTGCGTACAGTATACAGGAGACTGCGGACAGGATACAGGAGACTGCGGACAGTATACAGGAGACTGCGTACAGGATACAGGAGACTGCGTACAGGATACAGGAGACTGCGTACAGGATACAGGAGACTGCGGACAGGATACAGGAGACTGCGGACAGGATACAGGAGTCTGCGAACAGGATACAGGAGACTGCGGACAGGATACAGAAGTCTGTGGACAGGAAACAGGAGACTGCAGACAGTATACAGGAGACTGCGGACAGTATACAGGAGACTGCGTACAGGATACAGGAGACTGCGTACAGGATACAGGAGACTGCGGACAGGATACAGGAGACTGCGGACAGGATACAGGAGACTGCGGACAGGATACAGAAGTCTGCGGACAGGATACAGAAGTCTGTGGACAGGATACAGGAGACTTTGGACAGGATACAGGAGACTTTGGACAGGATACAGGAGACTGCGGACAGGATACAGGAGACTGCGGACAGGATACAGGAGACTGCGGACAGGATACAGGAGACTGCGGACAGGATACAGGAGACTGCAGACAGGATACAGGAGACTGCAGACAGGATACAGGAGTCTACGGATAGGACACAGGAGACTGCGGACAGGACACAGGAGACTGCGGACAGGATACAGGAGACTGCGGACAGGATACAGGAGACTGCGGACAGGATACAGGAGACTGCGGACAGGATACAGGAGACTTTGGACAGGATACAGGAGACTTTGGACAGGATACAGGAGACTGCGGACAGGACACAGGAGACTGCGGACAGGACAGAGGAGACTGCGGGCAAGACACAGGAGACTGCGGACAAGACACAGGAGACTGCGGGCAGGACAGAGGAGACTGCGTACAGTATACAGGAGACTGCGGACAGGATACAGGAGACTGCGGACAGTATACAGGAGACTGCGTACAGGATACAGGAGACTGCGTACAGGATACAGGAGACTGCGGACAGGATACAGGAGACTGCGGACAGGATACAGAAGTCTGTGGACAGGATACAGGAGACTGCGGGCAGAATACAGGAGACTGCGGGCAGAATACAGGAGACTGAGGGCAGAATACAGGAGATGGTCAGCCCACACTAACACTGCTGAGCCTGCCTTCCCCACCCAAGCACTGTCGAGCCCTCCTTCCCCGCCTGAGCACTGCAGAGCCTGCCTCCCCCTGTCCGAACACTGCCATGCCCCCTGCTCAAGAACTGCTGAACCCGCCTCCCCCTGCTAGAGAACTGCTGAGCCCACCCCCTTGCTTAAACCCTGCCTCCCGAATTCCATCCTCTGAAGACAGATGCTGTTGGTGCATCTCTACCTAAAACCCTTACCTAAAATTCTTGGTGCAAGCACCGCACTTGGGCACCTTTTAGCCACAGAGTGCTTTACAGATCTAGGGCCATGATACACCTTACACCTAGCCTAATGCTGTCCCCAAAGTTTGCTTTGGAAGCATTCATGAGCAGTACTGTACTGTACATGCAACATAGAGAAGACAGTTAAAGGAAACCTCTGCTGAAACAAATACAGAATTTGTCATTTTCAGCCTCCTTCTAAAAATGCTAGTAGATTGGCTGTTGCCTGTGGCATGCATAGTCAAACCATCTAATTTGTAAGCTTGTTTTATATCAGTGACTAAAGCTGGTCAAATGAATTGAAATTCATTTGCTTCAGCAGTGACCAGACGAATTTCGATCCATGTATGGGCAGGCTGGTTGTACACAAGTGGATCTATCATTCCAATTGTGTACAACCAGCCTTCTGGAAATCTCTTTCACAAACAGCACTGCCAGCTATACTGTAGTCTGCAGTGCTGGTCAGTGTATGCTGACAACAGGGAAGTCTCCCCACTGTCTGAATACAATAATTCAGCAGGAGGGATTCCCCCAACCTCACTGAGCATGTGAATGCAGGAATTGGGTCATGCATGGCCAGAGTAAGGCTCGGTTCACTCTGCTTGGGATCCGCCTTGTGAGACCCCAAGTCACATGACATGCAAAATCCCATGTTAATCAATGAGAGCTGTGTTAATTGGCACTACTGAAGTTGCTCCGACTTTAGAAAAGGTTCTAAACTGTACTACTTCAAGGCTACTTCTATCCGACTTGTGCCTATAGACTTCAATGGAAGCCGCCTCCAAGTCGGATCCTCATCTATATTGATGTGGTTTGGATCTGACATTACAGGCAGATTACCCAGGTATTCCCTGAAAGTCACTTCAAAGTCCTACCAAAGTAGTACTCTAGTCGCCAGGAAGTCATCTGTCAAAGTCGCACTGTAAGTCGCGTGACATTCAGGTGACAGTAGTGTGAACCAAGACTTACAAAGTGTTAAAATTAGACTAGCATGCAAAAAGTGCATTTTAAAAAAACTAGGTTCATTGTATTTCTTTCAGCACAGGTTTGGCCTTTAAAAACCAACTAACCATGGTTGCCTAAATCAAACCTGTCAAAACAGAAATAGGTCATCGAACAAGCATGGGCATTTCAGTGGGTGGACACTTAATATGCACATGCTTGTTATGGATCAGTGGCAGCGTCCATATTATTGCTCTGAGAGGTTGCTTTAAATTAAACTAATTTAAAATGTAAATTAAATTGCATATTGTTTTTTTTTTTCCTGAAGACTCCATTTTCATATAGTAGATTATATTTCGACCTTTACCCCCAAAGCCAAAAATATTGCTCTATAGGTTGCTCTATAGGTTTTGCAGCTATTTATTTGAACACAAAAATTCTAATGGCGAAGCTGTATTTTCAAATTCAAAATGCTAATTTTGTAGTTCAAAAATTATTTAAAGCAGAATTTTAGCCACACTATAAAATTACATATTTGATGTAGGCAGGACCAGGACAAGGTGGAGATTTTGTGCTAGAATGGGTGATTTGGTGGGGGGATTTGTGTTAGAAGGGTGAATTTCTGTTAGGAAGATCTAATTCGGGGAATGATTTGTGCTAGTATGCATGATTGAAGGGATTTGTGCTAGGAGAGAAAATTTGGGGGGAGGGTTAGTGCTAGGAGAGGGGATTTAGGGGAGGAGTTGTGCTGGGAGAGGGGATTTAGAAGGGGTGGAGAGGATTTATGCTCAGAATGGAAATTTGAGGGGTAGAGAAATGGTTGGGGAGGGAGTTTGAGTGGGGGGGGGAGTTAGTACAGAGCGAGGGGGAATTATTGGGGGGAGAATTTGGACTTGCAGAGGTAAATTATACTTAGGATATAAGCGTGAAGATTAGTGTTTTGGGGGGTGGCAAAGGATTTTTACTCATGCAAAGATCATGCATTTTTTGGGGGGGGACATTTGGAATATTCGCCCTTGTCCCGGCACTGGATGTAGGCTGCCCATACCCATAGGACTGGGCTGTTTGTCTACATACTCCATACAACATTTTATTCCTGCTGATCCCGCCAGTGGGCACTTTTCTTGAGCAATACATTATTGCACACTGTCACCTTTGCTGCTGCTATAGCTGCATAGCTGTTGCCGCCATTGATAGCCCTATCAATGAACAGTCATGCCAAGATTTGGCCACATCTTTTGATTGACAGTGCAATACTCTATTTGCAAGATCTTAGAAAAATGTAAATGATGTAAAAGTCCTGCTCATCCCCTCTCACCCCTTGCAGTAACATCTAACAGGATGCAGTAGCTTGCCAGCTGCATTTATCACTAATAAAGGGGTAAAAGAGGTAATCTTTTCAGACATTTAACATGCCAGCGTGCATGTTTTTTCACTCTAGGAGAATAACATTGGAAGCTTTAAATGGACTCCAAAGCTGGGCAGGGGTCTCCAAAGTTTTTAAACAAAGGGCCAGTTGCCTGTCCTTGAGACTTTAGGGGGGCCGACCTATGGCTAGTGGGAGTAGAAATTGGCCTAGCGTCTAGTGCAGCAATGGGCAAACTACAGCCCGCGGGCCGTATATGGCCCGGCGGACCTTTTAATCCGGCCCGCGGATGTGGCTGTCAGGATGTGTGTAGGCGGGGCAGCGTGACGAACGTGAAGGGAAGGGAGCTAGGCTCCTTTCACAGTCCGCCCTAAAGACCGGAACGGCGCGGGAACACGGCGAGAGGAACGCGCGGAGCAAAGGTAAGTGAATTGACACAGGGGGGACTTGGCTTACTACTTGGGGGGGAATAGTACTGTGAGGGATGAAATACTATATGAGGGATGAATTAATATGGGGGATGAATTAATATGGGGAATGAATTACTATATGGGGGATGAATTACTATGGGGATGAATTACTATAGGGGGGATGAATTACTATATGGGGGATGAATTACTATATGGGGGATGAATTACTATATGGGGGATGAATTACTATATGGGGGATAAATTACTATATGGGGGATGAATTACTATGGGGGATGAATTACTATATGGGGGATTAATTACTATGCTTACTATGGGGGAATATTACTATACTTACTATGTATGACACATACACATCATTCATCTACTCTTGGTCCGGCCCCCGGGTCCAATATATGAACCCATTGCGGCCCTCAAGTCAAAACGTTTGCCCACTCCTGGTCTAGTGAGAGTATACAATGCCCTATGTTTGGTGTCAGTGCGAGGAATAGTGCCCCATCATTAGTATCAGTGGAAGGAATAGTGCTCCATCATTGGTGTCAGTGGGAGGAATAGTGTCCTATCCTTGGTATCAGTGGGATTAATAGTGCCCCATCATTGGTATCAGTGGGAGGAATAGTGCCCCATCATTAGTATCAGTGGGAGGAATAGTGCCCCATCATTAGTATCAGTGGAAGGAATAGTGCTCCATCATTGGTGTCAGTGGGAGGAATAGTGCCCCATCATTGGCATCAGTGGAAGGAATAGTGCCCTATCCTTGGTGTCAGTGGGAGGAATAGTGCCCCATCATTGGCATCAGTGGAAGGAATAGTGCCCTATCCTTGGTGTCAGTGGGAGGAATAGTGCTCCATCATTGGCATCAGTGGAAGGAATAGTGCCCTATTCTTGGTTTCAGTGGGAGGAATACTGCCCCATAATTGGTATCAATGGAAGGAATTATGCCTCATCCTTGGTGTCAGTAGAAGGAATTGTGCCCTTTCATTGGTGTCAATGAGAGGAATAGTGCCCCACTGCTGGTGTCAGTGAAAGGAATAGTGGCCAATCGTTTTTATCGATGGAAAGAATTCTTTCCAATCATTGTTGTCAATGGAAGGAACTGTGCCCTATCATTGGTGTCAGTGGGAGGAATTGTGCCCTTTTGTAGGTGTCTGTGGGAGGTATAGTGCCGCATTATTGGTGTCAGTAACAGGAATTATGCCCCATTGTTGGTGTCAGTGGATGGAATAGTGCCCAAGGGCCACATAAAGGCAGCAAAGGGTCACAGTTTGGAGACCACTGAGTCAGAGGGTCAGACTGGCAGCCAGGAAACTAGCATTTTTAGAAGAAAAGTCACCAATGGCAGTTCTTTACTGCCTACAATACAAGATTCCTTTATAGCACATTACTATAAACAGCGGGCGCTGTTCTGCTCTCTGAGTTCTTTCGAAGACTCAAAGCTCTTTGTTTTTAAAGACATTATTTAATGTTAGAGCAACAAAACAGAGCAAAGATTACATTACAGAGCACATACTCTTTGGCAGGTACTGAGTCATACTCTGATCATATCCATTAAATCCAGGTGTCACTAGCAGATTGCATTCTGATATCTCTATAAATAAAAAGCCTTCATCATAATAGGATGTGTCACAGCCTTCCGCATATTTATGATTCCCTCAATGCTTTAGCAGAGAGGAGAAAATGATTATTATAAATCATAGGAGGGCTGACATAGAAAACCTTTTGCTGGAAACAAGTATAATCACACAGGAAAAACTAGACTTCAAGGTCAAATTAACAGTTTCACTGCCAATGGGGTTTCAGATCTAAAGCAAGTCAATTCAGTTATGAAAATATTGTGTCCTGATCTCCAATAATGATTTAAAGCAATATCCAGGATATACCGAACTAATCTTAAAAATGCTCTCTCTCACTTCTAGAACCTATATTAACTAACCTGTTTAAGAAAGATCTGTATACTTGCCTATTTTCATGCCGCCCCAGTCTGGTCATGTGATCTCCTCTGTGTCAGCCAGCGCCGGCTGCAGGGGAGAGAGCTCCACAACAGCTGACAATGCCTGGGAACGATGACATCACCTATGGCTTTACTATGGCTCATCCATTGTCAGTGCTCTCTTCTCTCCCTGAAGCTGCTGCTAGCTGATGCAGGGGAGCTGGATCATGTGACCGGACTGGGGTGGACTGAAAATTGGTACACTCCAGTACCAATAGGTATAGGTGTTAGAAAGGGGGAGGGAGCACGCAGAACAATTAATTTTTATCTAAAATGTCATAAAATTGTATGCCCTTGATCCTGATTCTATAGAATAGTGTATGGTCTATACCAGGGGTGGGCAATGGTGGCCCTCCAGCTGTTGGTGAACTACAAGTCCCATTATGCCTCTGCCTTTGGGAGTCATGCTTGTAACTGTGAGTTTTGCAATGCCTCATGGGACTTGTAGTTCTACAACAGCTGGAAGGCCACAGTTGCCCACCCCTGGTCTATACCAAAAAAAAGGGATCTATTTACAAAACATTCACTGTGAGCATGCCTCAGGCATTTGCACAGCCATAATGAATATTCACTGTAGTATGTGTAGTCTCTTTATTTCTTATGATCGTCAGCTCCATCTAGTGGCCATAATGCATTATTTTGATTATTAAAGTATTTCAGGAAAATACCACATTATGGCTACTAGATGGAGCTGGCAATCATAGGAAATAAACATATTAGACACATCACATCAATTATTCATGACCACTCTGCAAAGCTGAGTTTTTGCTACTTACTGTACATAGCAGCAGAATAGCAGAATGTTCTTAGCATGGCAAACGTGCGCGTATTCACGAACTGAATAATTTTGTGAGTTTCCCTTTAACTCCATTTTAATCATTTCGAGCAGCTCAGATCATTCTTCTTTCTATTGAAAGTTTTATATAATTTTTGTAATTAGTTTTTACAGTCATTTGGAAGTATTTTTTTTAACTACATTTTTTGGCAATGACTGCTTTGCAGGTGTAGTATCTACACTATATTGCCAAATGTATTGGGGCACTGCTCCAAATCATTGGATTCAGGTGTTCCAATCACCTCCATGGCCACAGGTGTATAAACTCAAGCACCTAGGCATGCAGACTGCTTCTACAAACATTTGTGAAAGAATGGGTCACTCTCAGGAGCTCAGTGAATTCCAGCGTGGTACTGTGATAGGTTGTCACCTGTGCAATAAGTCCATCCATGAAATTTCCTTGCTACTAAATATTCCACGGTCAACTGTTAGTGGTATTGTAACAAAGTGGAAGCGACTGGGAACAACAGCAACTCAGCCACAAACTGGTAGGCCATGACAGAGCGGGGTCAGTACATGCTGAAGAGTACAGTGTGCAGAAGTCACCAGCTGCAGAGTCAAAAGCTAAAGATCTCCAAACTTTGTGTGGCCTTCTAATTAGCACAACAACAGTGCGTAAAGAGCTTCATGGAATGGGTTTCCATGGGCGAGAAGCTGCATCCAAGCCTTACATCATCAAGTGCAATGCAAAGCATCGGATGCAGTGGTGTAAAGCACGTCGCCACTGGACTCTAGAGAAGTGGAGATGTGTTTTCTGGAGTGACGAATCACGCTTCTCCGTCTGGCAATCTGATTGATGTGTCTGGGTTTGGCGGTTGCCAGAAGAATGGTACTTGCCTGACTGCATTGTGCCAAGTGTAAAGTTTGGTGGAGGGGGGATTATGGTGTGGGGTTGTTTTTCAGGGGTTGGGCTTGGTCTCTTAGTTCTAGTAAATGGAACTCTTAAGGCGTCAGCATACCAAGACATTTTGGACAATTTCATGCTCCCAACTTTGTGGGAACAGTTTGGGGATGGCCCCTTATTGTTCCAACATGACTGCGCACCAGTGCACAAAGCAAGGTCCATGAAGACATGGATGAGCCAGTTTGGGGTGGAGGAACTTGACTGGCCTGCACAGAGTCCTGACCTCAACCTGATAGAACACCTTTGGGATGAATTAGAGCAGCAACTGCAATCCAGGCCTTCTTGTCCGACATCAGTGCCTGACCTCACAGATGCGCTTATGGAAGAATGGTCAAACATTCCCATAGACACTCCTAAACCTTGTGGACAGCCTTCCCAGAAGAGTTGAAGCTGTTATAGCTGCAAAGAATGGGCCAACTCAATATTGAACCCTACGGACTAAGACTGGGATGTTCCCTGGAGTCCTCCCAAAGTGAACAAGCAAAAATATTGAGGGTTTCTGACTGCAACTAACATAAGGACCTGCTCAAACATACAAGGTATAAAAAAAGAAAAGGAAAACTGCACAGGGATGTATTGTAAAAATGTGCTATGCACTCCATGGGCCTCAGGACACTGAAGCTGGCAGGGCAAATTACTGTAGAAAATGAAAGCACTGTTTCAATAAAAAGAAAACTTTGGGGAGATTCCAGTCATATGACCTTAGGGTTGATTAAGATAGACAGCAGGAATGCAGCGTTCAAATGTGGCCAGTCCTGCCTCTGGACACAGCAGCATTCTGTGCTTTGGCTGCCTATAAACTAGACAGTTAGCTGTGTCCAGTTTGTGTGCACCCAAAACCGCATGAATGAACCCTTAAAGTCACAGGACTGGTCATGGAGCTCTTTCTGCTACATTATGCAGAGGGAACTCTGCATTCCTCTATTGTCTACTTGGTCTGTGACAGGGGTTTTTGGAGGGGACTGCAAGCTAATCTCTTGCCTACTGACCATGGACCCTGGCATATGAAGGGGCTCTGTTCTTTGGGAGGTATGTGCCTAGGGGGACCTTTTACTTCAAGTGCATAATTCAAGTCCACAGGTTCTGAGAACTGGAGGACTAGGATACAGATTTGGGGTCTCTGTGCCAACACCAGTATTGACTGCTTCAACCTCCTCCCCCTAGACTTAGGGACTCTAAGCACATGTTAATATAATCAGCTCAAAACAACCTGATGCTGAGGTATCTTGCTGTAATTTGTCTATTAAGGTGTGATGTATTTATCATCATGTATTTGTCCCATTGTTAATTGAGTTAATTGAGTCATCTATTGTTTCTGTCTGTTGGCTAGTCCTCCTAGAGGTTCCTACAGGGGATTAGTCCGGTGTCAAATTTACCCCCTTACCTATTCAGTGTGGGACGTTTATCCAAATGTGTTTTATTGTTCATTGTCATGTGATGACTGCCCCTATTTCTGAAGTGCATAAAAACCTGTATTTCTGTTCAATAAACTGTTCCAGTTGCAACTAAGCTAGTGTTGTTTAGTCATTGGGTGCAATGCCCAGCTATAATACCTTGGTCCTATGTCCTAGTGGTGAGGAAGCAGTTCTCTGCCAGACGGTTCGTCACAGTCTGCATTTTTCCAATTGACAATAAAATGGGGCCATAATTTATGAAAAGGAGTAGAGTAGGTTGGAGAACAGATATTGTTATCCAATCTTTATTATAACTTAGCCACAAAGTTTAGTAATCTGAATGATAGTAAGAATGCAGCTGGTTGCTGTAAGCAGCAAAGACATTTTAATAAACAAGTACATTGACTGGATACTAAAGTGATATGGTGTGGTAATCAGTAGTTGCACATGTGATATATTTGATGGTTCTGATATAGTCTTTATTCACCATGGGCACTTTTACATGTTAAGTTTTGGTCACCTGCTCTCCTTTCTCTCTGATTTTTTGAAGACCCTCAGTCTGTTTTTCTTCTAATTTCTGTTGCTGGTTGTTCCATTTATCAGATACCTAAAAAAAAAAAACCACAAAATACATAGAGAGTTGTTTGAGGTTGGCCTTGATGCGCTTAAGTCTTTTTTTTCAATGCAGTTATGTATGTAGGTGTCACAGTTACTTACTTATTATGTTCCAGGGCCTCCCCTAACTTCCATGGTCTTTGGCACTTTTGTGTTTTACTAGGAGTATTGTGACCTTGTAACGTGATGGTGTCCTCTATTTAAACTCAAGTGGGATGTTCTATCCACATTTATCCTGAGGCAGTGAAGCTATTTTTGTGCCTATTGCTCCCCTAAGGTATTGACGTTGTTTTTTTGCCCTTTTGCCCCAGCATCACATCCCCCAGTTAAAGTTTCCCCTGTACTTCAAATGATCACCAATGCACCCAAAGCCAAACTCACCACAGCACCCCAGTCAGGACTCTGCACTCACGGCCCAGCTACTACTGCACCCAAAGTTTCCACTGCACACCAGCCTGGTATTTTCTGTTCTGGCAGTCCAGCCGCTGTTGCAGCCTTAATCTCTGCTAGACCCTAATTTTGTCTCTTCTGCACTCGCAGATCAGCCACTGCTGTGTCCACAACAAAAGCTCCCACTGAATCCACAATCCAGCCACTGCTGTGTCTTCAGCCAAAGTCACTGCTGCACCCCAATCTGGTCACCGCAGCATTCCCTTCCCAGCCACCACTGCACCTCCTCTACACCTACAGCCTCCATTGCTCCTCAACTGCCCCACAACCTCGAAGCATCCACAGCCTAAACTGTGCCACAGTCTCCGCAGCCACTGCCAGAGTAACATCATACTTTTCAGAGGCTTCATTGTGTAGTTTGTGGGTTCCACACTTATCTGAATTAGTGAAAAAGAATCTGTTTTGGAGAAAAAAAATGCTGAATGTATTAATTCCAGAAACTGAATGGGAGTGCCAGAACTTTCTTGATCAGAAGTGGCCATGAGCTATATTTAGCCATGAGGGATTGGGAAGGTGCTGCGTGTATGTAAAGGCATGTCTATATGTCCGCACCTTATACCTGCAACTTTTTTTTTTTCTTTCATATTCTCTTAAAAGATAACTCCACTTTCATGTTGAAAAATAGAAAATAAAATAAAAATAATCAAGTGTATACATTTGGGACACAAGTCATATTGTAATTGAATGTTATTAAAAATGACCTTTCCTTTTCAATCAGCAGCGCTGTAGCTTTTTGTAACATGTAGTATGGCAATCTGAAGGCTTTCTGTGCAGTAGATGTATAGAACACCCCCCAGAAATTTAATTTCCTGTTTGTGTAATTGGCTTATTGATTTTCCCAGAAGTCTGCCCTGAGATACAAGTCAGATTATAGGCATCCTCTGCAACAAAAATGTAATTTTTGGTGAGATACTCCCATAGAGAAATCACGTCTACAGGAACGCATACCTTGCAACGTTACTCATTAGAGCTCTGCAGGTGCAGCAGCTGATTGATGATTATGAAATCACTCCGATACAGATTCACTCTGCACATGGACACAGACAAATAAACAGCTATTTCTTCAGAATATCAAAAGGTAGGGATCTTCAACAACGTTTGTTAACATCCCTGCAATGTGCAAAGATCACCCAGAGGGGAATGTTTTTTTCTCAACAAAAGTGGAGTTTCTCTTTAAAGGGTTTCAACCAAACTGTATTTTTTTAGCACATCAAGAACTGAAGTAAATTCTACTGAATTTGAACTGTAATTTTCTCCTCTGTATTGAGGCGCAAGAGAAATGAGGATTATACTGGGCAACACCAAGTTTGAGCTTTCGCTTATATCCCATCAGCATCATTTTCATTGAAATGGGAAAACCTCTTCATTTACCTCACCACAATTTATCCCTAATTTTATACTTCATGTGAAGTTCCAAACTGGTTTATTACTATTTAGATATGATGGCAAAAACTTTTCAGCAGGCATTTCCAAGTCCAGTACCGCAAACCATAGAAATAGGATAGGGTTCTGGTTTGTAAATTAAATAGTAAAACCCACCATTTGCAAGACTTGCACCACCTCCTGGATGTGTGAGTTGTTTATTTCTTTTTTTAACCTGTACAAACATTAAAAAATTATATATTAACAAGTGTGCAATTACGCCTGAATGTTCAAACTCATCAGCAGCAACAAGTCCACTTTAACGTAACTAAATTTCTAGAATTTCTTCCACCTTATGATTGCGTTCACTGGAGTCTTCCAGCAAAATAGTAGTAGGAAGGAATTCCAGAAAACCAGACTACACTTTTATGCATATTAATTATGCAATAAATTTAAAGTAAAAAAAAAAAATATCCTTTTTAAACTTTTAATCCATTGCAATTGATTTATAATCCTTAAAGGAAATATATAGTAGTTTTGTACATAATGTCTTTATTTATTGTTGGTGTGACAATAATGCGGTCTGGTGAACCCTAAACTGTGTGGAGAAAGGAGGGTAATCATACTACTTAATTTTTTTCAGTAAATTCATATGATGTGAGGATTTCAGCTTCCAAAGCAGTATCTGCATTATTTACTTCAGGGAAGGACCACCAGTGGGTGTAAGCAAGCTGTAAAGCTGTAAACTTGGAGATTGGGTAGTACTAACCCTCTTCTGACATTGGTAATTGCAAAGTATCTTTGCTATCCTTGCCAATTTAACTCCCCAGGCAAAAGAAAATAGGAAAAGTCAATTTCTTGGAAAGCACCACTTAGGGATATAGACTTGAGAGTTAGGCTCATCCACCTTACTAAGTGTTTAGTGTCTGCTACCTCCCACCATCAATCCCTCCACTGGCTTCCGCTCACCCAATGGATTAAATTCAAAATACTAACAACAACTTACAAAGCCATCCACAAATCAGCCCCCAGCTACATCACCAACCTAATCTCAAAATACCAACCTAATTGTTCTCTTCGTTCCTCCCAAGACCTGCTGCTCTCAAGCTCCCTCATCACCTCCTCCCATGCTTGCCTCCAGGACTTTTCCCAAGCCTCTACCAACCTATGGAACTTCCTACTCCAATCTTTCTGGCTATCTCCTACTCTGTTTACTTTTAGGTGATGCCTGAAAACACTTCTCTTCAGAGAAGCCTATCCTGCCCCCTCCTAACGACTGTACTTTTATTTTCTCCAACAGCCCTTTTGTATCACTTGACTCTCCCTCTTAGATTGCCAGCTCTAGGGAGCAGGGGCCTCTGATTCCTAATGTATTGAATTGTATTGTAAATGTACTGTCTGCCCTCATGTTGTAAAGCACTGCGCAAACATTAACGCTATATAAATCCTGTGTATTAATATAATAATAATAGTAAAGGTATATAGGAAGTGTGGAAAAATGATCATATCAAAAATATTTACACTACGCACTATAGTTAATAGTAATTTAGACCACGTGCAAAGGGTTGTCTTAAGTTTAGCAATAAGGGAAATTAAATTTTTCTCAATACAACGTTGGATGGGTTATTGGGACCATAATACCCAGATATTGAAAAATATCAACAATTTGCAGTGGAAAAGAACTTGAGTTGTATTCCCACTTTCATGGAATTTTTGTATTTTTGGTTGAACTTTAAATGTGTCATATATTAGTGTTATTCATATGTCTCCCGTGTGGCTTAATTAAAGCTCTGAAGGCTGCAATTGGGCCATGCGCATGTACAATGTATATGTTACAGTACTCAGCTCGGTAATGGATGAGATGGCAGATCTGCGCTTATAGACCGGCGTGTATACCACCACGGCATTCAATGCGAATGCCGCCGGCGGTAGGCCGCGGGCCTGTATCCACATATCAGCAGCATAGTACCACATGGACTTCGTACCGCAAGGCACCAAGCGGTGTGAACTCCGCGTGTAGGCTCATGTATATCTTACAAACCATTACCAACCTGAAACTGTATCTGGATGGATGTGTTTTAATAAAGATCGTATCGGGCCCATCCAGATACAGACTGATGTTTCTAGGGGATGCTTGTACAGAGAATTTACATACCACTAGGAGCTAGGACAGGAATTCTGCTGACCTCAGAGGGCTCATGGGGGAAGGACCAGTGATAGATAATAGGAAAGGCTACGCTCCAATCGGAATGTACATCCTGTGTATAGGCATTCCCCATGCATTGTTCTGTGGGAGGGGATTGACCTTATTCATGAGGGGGGCATGTGTCTGCTTGTAAATAAAAATCGGAGGCTGGAGTTGGATCCGCCTCTTTGTGAATTCCAACAGCAACCTGAGAGTGTCGCCTGATCATTTCTGGGTAACCGAAACTCTATTTCCCCACATCTCAAGATAGGTAACCCAGTTGGAGGGGCAGGAATCGTGGCGTTTAGCTACAGTCGTGGTAAGCGAGATTCGCACAGCTTTATGGGGGATTGCTGCGCATCCAACTGCGAGTACTCACGGTAAGGAGAAATTCGTTCAAAGCGAATTTCCAAGACACCACATCCAGAGGAAAAGTTATGAATTTTTTGAAGTTCACAGGGAATCCGGAGAAGTGGCCAAATTCTTGTATAGTAGTTAACATTTGCTGTAGGGATGATTGTGGGTCCACTAAATAGACAATCATATTGTCGGCATAAAGAAAGATATTTTTCCTCTGTTCCATTAATGACAAGACCCTGGATACTTGAATCAGAGTGCAACATTTCTGCCAGTGGCTCAATGGCCATAGCAAATAGGAGGAGTGACAGGGGACATCTCTGCCTAGTGCCTCTCTGGATAGAAAAGGCTGGAATATATTTAGTATAGGAGTATGATTGTCTTAAACATTAGTTACAACAATCAGTAGCATGGACCATACATTACACAGCTATGGTGTAATTGGTTATATGAGCACATAAGCTCGTACTATATATGGACTAGAAGTGACTACTTGTTGGTGTATTCAATTAGTCTTATATACGTACATAGCTAACACATACACTGATTGACTATAAAGTCCACTAAAAATTGATATTTCAGTCTTAGTAGGGTGCAGGAGGTATGTAATTTACTGAGTGGTCCATAAAAGTTTCAGGGACATCAATGGTGATATCTCCTGGCTCTGGCTTCTGACTCTACTGTTAGAAAACCATGCAAGGGAGGCTCACTCCTTCTGCTGTATTACCTGCAAAAATAAATATATAAAGAACCCAGCAAAGGTTTTCCATAAATGCTAGGTTTCTGGAAAATAAGTTATTATTGCTAGAGCCATGAAGAATCCACTGTATAACCCACCAGTATCCACCAAACACTAAAAACAGTTTGGGGGAGATGTATGGCCTTTACGATAGAACATATAACTCATTTAGAATATTGTTGAAAAGAACTGTAAATTAAAATTAACGGGTTAAATTAAGGGGTTTAATTTACATTAAATAAATGCATGATTTCCCGCTTTCCCTGACATTCCATTTAGATGGAGAAATGTTCAGGAACAGTAAGAGACAAAAATACCTTTCTTGAGCAGCTTTATCCATTGTATTCTTACTCATCGCCTCAAGTCTCTCCAACCGCTTCGTTTCCAACTTCTTCTTCATCAGTTTAGTGTCACTATGAAAAAAACATATCAATGACATGTATGAATTTCTCACAGCCCTCCATCCTGTTTTTCTTTACATTTGCTGCAATTTTCACATCACAACTCTCCATGTCTGAGTTGCTGACGTATGAATCACTGCGGGGGGTTGAATTATATTTGGGTTTAGGCTGCACATACTTGTGCATTTGTTTCTCTGGATCTAACATACACATTATTTTTTATTTGAAATTTAATATTTCACTTTCCTAAGGTTTCATGACTTCAGTTTTATTTATTGTCAGACACATACACCGATCAGCTATAACTTTGGCCACACACCTAATGTTGAGTAGGTCCCCCTTTTGACACCAACACTTTCCTGATCTGTTGAGGCATGGACTTTGCTTGACCTCTAAAGGTATGCTGAGGTATCTGGCACCAAGCCGTCATTAGCAGATCCTGTAAGTTGTGAGGTGGAGCTTCCATTGTTTGGACTTGTTTTTACAGCATTTCCCACAGACTCTCGATTGCATTGAGACCTGGAAAATCTGAAGGCCAAATCAACACCTCAAACTCGTGGGTGTGTTGCTCAAATCATTCTTGAACCATTTTTGTAGTGTGGCAGTGCAAATTATCCTGCTGAGAGAGACCATTGCCATCAGGAAGTATAGTTTTCATGAAGGGGTGTATTTGGCCACCACCAATGTTTAGGTCAATGATACCTGTCAAAGTGACATCCGCATGAATAGCAGGACCCAAGGTTTCACAGCGAAACATTGCCCCAAGCATCACATTACATCCTCCGGCTTACCTTTTTCCCATACTACATCCATTAAATATATATAAACAGAAGATTATCACTCTGTGTATCACCTGAGGCCAGTCACTTCACTGGGTATATGTAAGGGTTTACAACCACTTTTATGTGGGCCTGAATTTACTAAAGAGGAATGTACAACTGCTGGTAGAAATTAATATAATTGGTGCTATTGCAAAGTGGGTTCTCATAGACAGGCTGATGTATGTTCACACAGAGATTAATAAACTGCTAAAGCATAAACTCATGTTTAGTACATACATTATAGTTTGGGTCCACCTATAGTCCTGTACAGCCAGGCAACAAGCATTCCCTCAGAATTGCATCAGGAGAGAGTAACCAGTCCTTGAGCTTGGTTTTGAAGTTTTATTGGCGGAATTAGAACTTGGATGAGGTTAAGGGTGTATAGGATGCCCAAGGACAATGGCAACAGAGGACAAACTCATTAGTAACTATGTACAACCCTTTACAGCAAAAATTTTTCTGGAGAGCTTGCCAGCATCTCCCACAGTACCACCGCAGACTCCAGCTGTCCTGGGTGAATCCCTGGGCAGGGGATCCAGTACCTGACACTGCATTGAAAACAGTCCTGGGCAAAAAGCTAATCCAGTTTCCCACCAGAGTGTCTCTATCCCTTTGCTGGCCCAGGGGGTGCAGGTCTACTCACTTGGTCCTTCTCCTGTGTTGCCGGTGGGTCAGTCGGTACCAGGCCTTCTGACTGGGCTGCTCCTTCCCTGCCTCACAGGTGGTCCTCTCTTAGGGGGCTGGTGAAGTCCCAAGCTTACTTTCTTCCATGGTCTCTCTGCCTGGAGGTGAGCCCCTTTCCCATCTGGGCCCACTTTACAGGCTCCTGCATGTCTTCCTCTCCCACATCTTCTACCTGACTCTCTCTCTCCCTTCTAAGCAGGCTCAGTTACTCTTAAAGATTGTCCTGGCCCCTTGCCAAGGCTCCTGTTGCGGCCAGGATCCTACAACAGTACAGACCAGCCACTCCTGAAATCCACCCACTGTTTTTAGACCTTTCTCCAAAGTTCTAGAGCAGGAGGGGAATTCCAGAGGGCTGGTCTGCAGAGCGTCTCTGCTCTAAACAAAATTTGACCCATGCTAGCTATCACACCCAGCTTTCTACTTAACACTAACTAACAATTTTAGTTTAGCTCCCCCTAGCTAACTAGGAGGGTGCTACACATACATTTCCAAATATTGCTGCTTGTGTGTTTTATAGTCTATGAAATTGCACTAAAAGTGTGTGTTTAAAATTCTGCCTTAAGGTAAAATTAAAAAACACCCTTAGGGCATGTTCACACATAAAGTTGGGGGGTGGTAAAATGCTGCGGTTGATTAAATTAGCAAATGTAGCACCCTTCCTGTTAGGTGCTAGTATAAGTGTTCGTAGGTAAATTTAGTTTTGGGCTCCTGCATTAGGGAGTTTTGGTGTGCTTTCAGAAAGTGCACCAAACCCATAGGATATAATAGAAGTCCATGGCTAAGCGCAGCAAACCCCCCAAGGCTACAGGTACTCTGCACTGCACCTATGGTGTGGGTAAACTGCAGCGCATCAGTGTGAAAGCAGCCATATACTATTATGCCCAGTGTATTGCTTCACACTGACCTGAAGATCTCTTCTTTCCTGCTGCTGGCACCACTCTGGAGACTGCTAGCCGGGATAAGAGGTGGAGTGCAGTTGGTATCACTTCGCATGGGACAGGAGCCGGCACTGCAGAGGAGGCATCAGCGTATGCGACTCTTGTTCTCTACTACAACTCCAACTTTACAAGTAGTCCCTCTGCATTGCACTCTGTTTGATGTTCTGGGATGGCGGGTCAGCAAGCCCGGCCCACGATCTACCAGTCACCTGGCCGCGATCTACTGGTTGCTGACCCCCGCTTTAAGGTAAGCCTGTCATCACGTTTTATGCCACCATTTTTGTTGTGTTGCACAGCATGCATCTCAAGGTAGCACAGGAAACTGCTCTATGACTAGTTTCTTTGAGGATGTCATATTACAAGAATTAAAATATTTTAAAAAAAGGATATGTAAGCATTCATTTTTGTCCCATACCTTTTCTCCCATATATCGCTATAAATCTCATACTAAAGAGTGTAACTAGTAAAAAGTTATATTTAAAAATTAAACTTAACTTGAATTAAGGGCATGCTACTCTTTGTCCTGCATTGACTTCCAATGAATGTGATTTTCAGTAGAATTTTTCCCAGTTTAAACAACTTACAATCTTCCAGCCTCAGTATAAATGTGATATACAGAAAATATGAAGAACTAAGCACAGTCACCGGTATTACAGAGGAATATGAGGATGCCAGCTGTCAAACAATGAGAAATCTGCTTATCCATCTTTCACTTGCCACAAATCCCAATCCCTTTGCCTTTAAGTGGAAATACAAGGCCGAATTGTTTTGTAATTCATCAAAACAAAGCTATGTCAATGGCTTCAAGCCGTCCACTATCAGAAATTTTCTCATTGTTTATAACATTCCTGAATAAATAAATATATTTTCTTAGATTAAAAACCCTTGTCCATAAATACATAGTTACATAGTCAGAATGAAAAAAACACAAGTCTATCTAGTTTAACCAATAGAAAAAAATGCATAAATAGGAAACCTCCAAATCTACTTCAGCTCTTCGGGCATACTACGTACGCCCAGAGAGTAAAGGATGTAAAAAAAGTTCATGGCTGAAGTAGCAGCCATCAACTTGTATTTTATGTTTGTTCAGCTGACTCCCAGCTATCATGGAAAAGTGATCCAGATGGATGTGTAGTTGCCCAATCACTTTTACAGTGCGAATGGTGTGGATAATTCTAGGGCCATCAGCCACAGTTTACTGTGAACTGATGAGCTGTAAGGGCATTAAAAGCGTCACCTACAGTAATTTGGGGTACTATAAATTTTTGCTATTTTGCAGACGCTTGCAGTTTTGAGGATTGACACATTTGTTACCAATTTACACTACACTGCCTCATATTTTTGTGTGTACAAAAAAATTGGGGATCAGATTGTGTTTGTGTCAATACAAATTCATTTTAGTGTATTTTTTCCTAAAAATATGGATTTGCTAAACAGTTCATGCGAACATTTAAACTACTGTATTTTTATTCCTCTGCTTTCAGAAAATATAAAATGTCTTGGGGGTTTAGGTAAATTTTTTAGCCAAAATGCAGATTTGTAACGTGTGCAAAAATTGCTCTAGAGGGAAACTGCATAAACCGAACCCTCTGTCCCATAGCAGGAATGAACCAAAGATGTATGCTCTGCTCAAGGCTCTGATCCCCCCTGCTGATAGCAGGAGTAGGTTCTCTTTGTAGGTTCCTAGGATTGCACCTACAGCAACTCCAAAAGAAGAAAGTGAACTGCTCACTGTATTATATGCTTCGTATTTATCAATGCATCAAAGAGACCAGTCCATCAGGAATGAAAACACCTTAACGCGTGTCACTTGGCAAGGAGCTTACCCTACAGTTGATCGAGAGGTAGGCAAAAACTCTATAAAGGATGGTTCAATTTGCTCCTGGGGGGTGGGGAATAAAAAAAATATTTCTTTATCCCCTGAAGGCAAATGGATATTGTCTGTATCAAAAATCCCTGGTGTTATTACTAATAAATGTTATTATCCAGATATATTTTGTGCATTTATGCATGTACCCAGTTTTTCTTTAAGACATCTACTGAGCTGACCAGAACTAATCCTTGAAGGAGTCTATTCCACATTTTCCCAGCTCTTACTGTGGAGAATATTATGGTGCATACAGTCCTAAAGGTGATTGTGAGTAATATGTCAATTTTACGTCTAATTAATAAAACAATGAACCATCTAAAGCTAGAGTGCTATTTTTTTCCTCAATGTTGCCTAGCCTGCCACACCCTTACAGTACATGAGCCCTTGATGGAGACTACATAGAACTTTGCCAAAACACAGTGCATAGATATGGCCCACCAAAGTCAGTCAGAGAGCCAAACAAAATCAATGATGTGTGGTGGGTGCTAAAGTGAGTGTGTGTACAAGAAGTGTCTGAAAGAGGCTAGAAGAGATCAGCAGCCCTGAGATACAAAAAAAAGATGTCAAACAGTATTTTATATATATAAAAAATCCATTAACTATTTTATGATGCACAGTGCTTAAGCACTTAAAGCAGAGTTCCACCTGAAAAAAAAATAAAAGTCAGCAGCTACAAAATATGCTGACTTTTAAAATACAGCCACTTTCTTGTCCCTCAGTCCAGCGGTGTCCTCACCACGGCTGGTTTCACCGGCCGTCTTCTCTCCCTGGAGCCGGCATCTTCAGTGTGGGCACCCGGCTGTGACAGCTTGCGGCTTCACAGCCGGGTGCCCACTACACATGCGCGAGTATCGCTGCGCTTTGTGAATGACCCCGTAGTCTTCTGGAACCTGTCACGTGTCCCAGAAGACTACGGAGAGGAAGGGGAGGAGGACAACTTCCGCTTCCGACGGCCTAGGCGATCGTAGCGGAAGTGGTAGCGGGTACATGTCAAATTTGGGTTCCCGCTCCCCAAAGTTGCCAATCCTTAACTTCCCTTTCGGGTGGAGCTCCGCTTTATGTTGCATTTGATTAATTTAGTTTTATTTGACAAATATACACATTCCACCATCAAACTAAATGTTTAAAGTGAAAAATTAAATCAACTGGATATATTTTATGCCATGCTATTCCCCGTGCCAAAAAGTAAATATTGGTCATGATAAAAGGAAATATCCTATTCTTGACATTCTGGGGCAAGGGTGGACTGACAACTCATGGGGCCCCTGGACAATAGGGGATCATGGGGCCCCAGTGTCCTTGCCCAAACTCAAAAAAGCCTATGAAAAAGGTACCAGGGGCATCTCTTGGGGCCCCCTACTGACCCCAGGCCCTCAGGCAGTGCCAAATGGTCAGTCCGCCCCTGTTCTGGGGGCCTCTTTTGTCTTCACGAAAACAGGACTAGAACTTTACCTGTCTGTAGATTCCTTCAGGACTTTCAGTTCAGTTGCTTGTCTCTCCTGGGCTAGCTCTAATAATTTGCTGAATTGCTGTTAAATAGTTAAAGAAACAAATGTCTATCAATATATGATAATATGCAGCTGAATCTATAGGAGGAGAATAAGAACTAATAGAAAAATACAATTCCTACTCTTGAAATACTATATGCTTTACAGGGGTCTAGACAAAGTACCACAACATACAATCTGGTGGAATTTTCAACAGGATATACTGTACATTTAATTTGTTAGTTGACATAAACGCTTGGTGATGCTGAAAAATTGAACAATTTCTTTCTCTTCATAGGACGTTTGGTGAGATTTCTTCCCTCCGAGGCCCCTGGCCAAAACAGTTGCTGTGGCTAGTCTGAGGGTTAGACTTTTATTTATTTCAATAAAATTGAAAATCATTCTTTATATTATGCAGAATGTGGTCAGGAGGGCCTTATACTAGGATCATGGTTGGTGCTGCAACCATGATCCTGGTTCCATTTTTTACATCAGGTGATTCACTTCAATGCATAAGTAATCCTAGCAGCTATACAGCTGCTGAATTACTTTTAGGCTAGGTTCACACCTGAGCAATTTTCTGCTTGGAACTTGTCATTCCAAAGCATTTAACAAGCCAAATCCCATTAATGTCAATGGCCCTAGTTCACATCTGGGCGTTCTGTTACCGCTTGCTCAAAAATGTATATGAGCTTCTTTTTGGCAGATTACAGGTATTTTGGGCACCACAGACTTCAATGGAAAAAGCTCAACATGAGCCAGGACAAGTTTATATAGAGCCCAGGGCGAACATGCCAAACTGTGCCCCCCTCAAGATGTATGAGCATTAGGTGTCAGCAAATATCTCCTCCCCCCAAAAAAAAAATCGAGCACTAATTTGCATGCTTACCCCTAAACATAAATTCCCCCTCCTCCCAGTACAAATCCACCCCCCTGCTGAAATCCACCCCTCCAGCAGAAGTCTTTAACCCCCACATCCCCCTCCCTCAATCACCCCCTAGCACAAATCCTCAACCCCTCAAATTTTCCCTCCAAGCACAAATCCTCTCCCCCCATGCCAAATCCCCCCGTCCCAGCACAAATTCCCACCTTCTTGCACAAATCCCCCCCTCAAATTTCCCCTCCTAGTACAAATACCCCAATCATCCCTAATAGCACGAATCCCCTACCCCTGAAAAACTTTTCCCTTCCTAGCACAAACTCCTCTCTCCTCTATATGACCTCTTCTAGCACAAATACTCTTCCCCTACCCCCCTCCCAACCCAAATCCCCCCAAAATAACCACTCCTAGCACCACCTCCCAATTTTCCCCTCCTATAACAATTCTCACCTCCTGGCCTCCCCTAATCCCCCCTCCCAAGACATATCCCCTCCCCCCTAATTTCCTTGCAGTCCCACTCCCCCTTCCATCCCACATGATACCACAGTGCCCAGGGCAGCCGCCCCTCCTGTCCACCCCTTGTCCCGGCCCTGGCGCTTTCTATTGGCTAAACAAAAACTTCTAAAACTCACCTAATATACTTCTAAATATGCTCAAAAACTCTCACATATAAATGCCAGAAAATCACAAAGCTCAGGAATGAACGCAGCCTTATAGCCATCCCATCGGGGAGCCTCGTAAGAATGCGGCCCGCAGCATTGGCTTTCCCGGACATAGTGAGAGTAACTGATGTTGTTCAGGAACTGGAAATTACAAGGATTTTGTCACTTCCAATTTGGTTTGTTTGTTTACAAGCCCTTGCCAGTTTGTGAAGCAGCAGATCAAACTGATCCCAGTTTGATTTGCTGCTTTGGAGGCCACAGAAGAGACTTGAGGTCTATGGGACCTCTCTATAATGAGGATCTGTCATGGCCCATGCAATAAAAGTGCTAAAAAAATAAAGGTACAGTATACAAATTAAAAGAAAAAAAATGTTAAACTTTTTAAAGCACCCCCAACCCCCTGTGCTCACCCTCAAAGGTGAGTGCACTCATTGGTCCTGCACACATATGTAAATGGAATTGCATCACACGTGAGGTAATCAAAAAGAGTTCAAATACACGCAAATGACAGAGCAAGAGTAGTAATTATAGGGCCAGATCTCCCGTGTAACTCTAAACTGGTAACCTGGAAAGGCTTTTAAAGCGTCACCTACGGATGATTTAATGTTTCACGGGTCTGCACAATTTTAAAGTGTGACATGTTTGGTATCTATTTACTTAGCATAACAACATTTTTTATATAAAAAAAATTGGGTATTATATTGTAGATCTGTTCGCTAAAAGTTCTTTAAAATGTGTTTGCACCAAAAATGTAGCATTTGAAACCTGCTGTGCAAATACTGCGTGACAAAAAATTGCAACGCCCACCATTTTATACTCTAGGGCCTCTAATATATGTATATATATATATATATATATAAGTATTGGGGGTCCTAAGTAATTATCTGGCAATAAAATGATGATCCTAAACATGACAGATCAGAGGTAACAAGCTGTAAACTTCCATTTCCTTTTATTTTTTTAGCACTTTTATTTTATTATGAACAACATCCCTTGTGATAGCACGGGCCTTGACAGGTCATCTTTATGGAGAGGTCCCATAGCCCCAGATCTCTCCTCTGGCTCCCAAAGCAGCAAATGTCAGAATTGGCCTGGTAGACAAGTGGTTAAACTTCTCAAAGCTGGCAATGATACCAAACGAACCAAAGAGTGAGGGTACAGAGAAAGGAAAGCATAATGACTTTCTGTTACCAAGGTTGTGGATGACTAGAGTTTTTCATTTTTGGTTGAACTGATCTCTTTTAATTCTACCCAATCTAGGAAACATCATATTTGGTATTAAATAAGTGGTAAAGCAGCTGTCAAAAGTTTCATAACTTTTGCAAGCTTCTGATGAAAGATCATCTGTTGGTGGCCCTGTACTGTGCTGCCAGCCTTGTATGGAAATAATTCTAATTCAGCTAGAACACAAAAAATTAATACCACGTTCCTTGATTTGCCCAATTATTGAAGAAAAATCATTTAAACCTGTCATAGCCTGCCATAACATTTATATATTTATGGCAGGTTAGTCAATGATTTAGGTTTTTTTTTAATAGATACTTTATTTAAAGCAAACAGCAAACAGAAGTTTTGAACCAAGCTCTGGTACAACAATACAGATTTGGTACAGATTCTCCATACAGTGTTGTCCTTTAACAGCATTTTATATGGTATAGATTTAATATCCGAACCATTAATATCAAACATCTGCAGGTCTGTAGGGGAGACAATTTTGTTTCCCGTGTCTAGCAGGCCTCCTTGGTAATTTCTTAATGTTTGTTACACAATGTAGGTGGGTGGAAAAAAAATATTAAGCATATGAGAAAGAAATAAACTGTAAATTCTGGTGATCAAAGGGGAAAATTAGGAGGTGAGGAGTGAGGGCAGTATCAGGGAATGCATAAGGGAAACCCAAGACCAGAGGAGAGGGGGACAGAAAGGAGTGATACGGTGTTGATGATTTAGGATTTTATCCAGATCAAGATCTCCTATCAGCAACTACAAACATTGGTAATAACTAAGCATACATTAAGCCTATACATCAAGCTTATAAGACAGTAAGTTTAAATCCTCTCTGTGTTGAAATGTATCTGCATATTTCTTGAAGAATTGCAATATTGTAATTTCTCTACATACGTCTGTAGAATGTTGTTCCCTCTTTTTCCAAATGCTCTCATTAAACTCCTCATAAGCGTGCATCAGTTCCTCCTCCATCTTCTCTTTCAGATCCACTATTTTTGGGTCTGGTTTTCCAGGGATTTCTCCAGCACCCCATATAAAGCCATAATCATCCTCCAGACTTCTAAAATATTAACAAAATTACTGTTGACAACTTTGGAAACAGTATTCTTAACACTGTGACCTATCTGGAACCTGTGCTATGCACATTAAATATTTGAAATATTGAACAAGCAGTAAAAGATACACTAAAACAAGCCCTCATTCATCTCCACTGCTATAGCCATTGTGGAGAAATTCATCCTCAAGGTTCAAAACACATGTTTTAAAATCACAGCTCCTTACCCTTTATTTTATGCAGAGAATAGAATGTTGGCAGCCTGCCAGTCATCTCATCTAAACACACAGCATGTGTTTCTAAGCTGTCCAGGTCCATTCAGATGAGTGCTGTCTGTACTGATCTGCAGGGGATCCATGAACAAGACTCCCTTCTTAATTGGAAAAGATTGGAACAGATGATACCTTTTTTACTTCTATGTCTGTTCAGGTTTTACCTCCAGCCTGACATTGCACCCACGTTAGGTCCATGGCCAGACGCATGTAAATGGAAATTTCCTCTGATCTGTCATGTTTAGTTTGGAAAAAATAAAAAAGCATGCAAAACTCTTCCATTTATATCTGCCTGCAAGTCCATTTACATCTGTCTACCCATAGCTTCCTCTCAGATCTACCTAATAGGCAGATAGGCAGATCTGATTGTTAAAAAGGACCCTTAGAAATAGACTTTATAGTCTTTGTTCTGAACCTTGGGGATTTTTGAGAATAAATTACTTCACACTACATGAAGCTAGAGGGGTCAGGGATGGCTTGTTTTAAAGCTATTTTACTGCTTTGTAAGAATATGTCAATTATTTACTGTCCACAGTCTGGACATAGGTGTTTAGGTGACAAATGCATCAAAGTAGCTCATGCACCTTTTTGAACTTGAAGCGCTTTGCACTTTTTTTTTAAATCGTACATTTGCTGTGTTTGTCGCACATTTTTTAGTGAATGTTTGCTTGCCATGTTTGGAGAGACATTAACAATAAGGCCTCATGCACATAGGATGTTAAAGAAAAATGCTCCTAGAAGCTGTCCTCGTGGCAGCAGCGATTTTTCCGCTTTTTTCTGCCAAAATGCTGCTGCTCCTGGTTGCACTAGCCCTGAGTTTTTTTTCCTGCTGGAAAACGCTACTGCTACTAAAAGCTTCTAAAATTCTATGTGTGCATGGACACATAGGATAACATGGAGGACTGTTTGGAATCCCCTAAAAGTAGCTACAAAAACGCCCTGTGTTCATGAGGCCTAAGTGGCACAGAAAGAGTGTCAAACTTTTTATATGCACTGCTATAGTTTGACTGCAACCCAAAAGCAATGTATAAAAGTTTGATACATAATTAATTTCTTTACTTACTGGCAAAAAAATGCAGATTTTAAAAATATTTGATTGACACTGTCAAATGAACAGCAACACCTTATTGATTACACTACTTATCATTTTGACAGCCTGGTCACAGCACCCAAGGCAGATACTTTTCCTGCCTCTAAATTGGTGCGGTCCTGAGCCTTGACAATTAAATGATTAAGCATTCTAATTATTTAGGAAGCCTTTTCCAGCAAACATATGAAGCGATCACACACATACTTCTTTTTTAGACACTTTCGGTTGGATTTCTTGTTGAGCTGTGTGTGCAGATCACTGAAGGCACTGGAGTATTTCTGGTGAACCTCCTCCCGTCGTTTCTGTCCTTTTCGTTCCAGCTCTTTTAGGTCTTTCTCTTGCTTCTTCTGAAGCTTCAAGAAGCTCTTCTGTTTCTGAAGTTCATCTTGATTCATGGTTTCTGGTTCTAGAAATAGGTGCAAACCTTAGTTCTCATGTTACTTTTACATTTACTGCTTAATGAATTGTAAACCTGGAGGTGCCCCATGCAATGTATAATAAAGTATAGAATAGTCATAGTTTACAAATTACTTTGATTTATTAATAAAGTATTTGGGACTATGCAAAGTGCAAGTGGTAACAAATAAACCTCCATATTTTCACTATCAGACAAAAGTTAAAATTTAATTAGGTGGCATTGATTAAAACCATTGTGCCTGTGTAACTGGGTGGGTAATCGGCTGAATGATCAGACTGAACGTAACTGTTACTTGCAATTTATGAAACAGGCGCAAAGTTAGAAGCAATAATGCAAAAAAGTTTCAAAATGAGAAGGAGAACGCATACACTGCAGCATAATACAAAATAGTTGATGAAAGCTACAGAAACATGAGCTCTTCACAGTATTGTCTCTGTGGTTCAATCAGGGTAGATTGGCTGCATAGAAGAGTCTCTTTAACACTCTAACAACTGAATCATTACATAAGTAAAACACTTCAGGACACAAACAGCTATTTTGGTTGTCATTATAAATGGCATTCCGCTCAGTGAAGTCCATGGTAGCTCTGATAACACAGGCAAACAGCTAGAGCAAAGTTCTCCAAATTGACAGATCTTGACTTTTGCTTGCCTTCATCCAGCTTTTGGAACACTGCTCCTCCCACTGATACATGGCACTATTGCTTCCACTGACACCAACAATGGGGCACCACTTCTCACACTGACACCAACAATGGGGTACTATTTCTCCCACTGACACCATCAATGGGGCACTATTACTTCTACTGACACCAACAATGGGGCACTATTCCTTCCGCTGATACGAACAATGGGGAACCATTTCTCCTGCTGACATCAACAATGGGGCACTGTTTTTCCCATTGATGCCAATGATGGGGCAGTATTCCTTCCACTGACACCAATGATGGGGTGCTATTCCTTCCACTGGCACCAATAATAGGGCACTATTCCTCCCACTCACACCAACAATAGGGCACTATTCCTCCCAATGACACCAATGATAGGGCACTATTCATCCTACTGACACCAATGATGGGGCACTATTCCTTCCAGTGATACCAACAATGCGGCATTATTCCTCCCACTGACACCAATAATTAGGCACCATTTCACCCACTAATATCAGTGATGGACACTATTCCTCCCATGATATCAATCAAGGGGCACTGTTTCTCCTACTAATACCAATAACGGGCACTATTCATCCCACTGATACCAATGATGGGGCACTGTTCTTCCCCCTACTGAACACAGGCACTTTGTAATTTTTTTTTTACTCCCTTGAGTGGACACAAGTTTGCACCCCCCCACACACACACACAAGTCTGGCCACAGGTTGCCCTCCCCCCACAAGTCTGGCCACAGTCCGCCCCCCCCCCAAGGTCTGAAAGACAATAAACTGGACCTTTGTTTAGAATGTGTTGGAGACCCCTGAGCTAAAGGGATCCCAGGCCTAAGCACACAGGGCCACCCCACAGGAACTAAAGTACTTTGGTAGCAATTACGGAAAGCCATCCTACAGTAGCTAGGACTTCTGCAGAAGCTTCATGCTTTTAGGCTCTGGCCCCACTACTCACACTGGTTCTGACAGTGGAGGGCCTCTCACCTGCTGCAGATCACTTTCCCAGCTACCTCTGCCTCATCCTGTGTAGGCTTTCTGAGCTTCTGAGAGAGAGAAATATAGGAATTACTTTTCCTTGGGCATGTAAAGGAGCCCAGGGAGTTGTGGAACATAAAGATAAAGGGTCCTGTGTGAGCATCTGAACATGGTGAGTAAATGGGCACTGCCAGAGACTCATGAAAATCAGTGACAACGACAATGTAAACTCAGAGACAAAATCACTACCCGAAGCCAGGAGTTTGGAATCAAGTAAATAAGAAAACATCTGACATAGCATCTCAGAATTCTGAGTTAATAACTCTGATCTGTGATAATAAGTCAGAATTCTGAAATACTATTGTCAAAGGTGGTTTTGCCTAACTGTATGAAAATATGGACTTTCAGAAAAGTTGGTATTGGTATAGCTGTAACAGCAGCAATAATATGTGGCACCAGAGAGTTCCAAAAATAAGACAATAGGGTCACTTTAATTGTGTGTAAGCTCAGAATAAATTTACTTTAAATCCTTTCAGGGATAGACCAGACAAGATGCAGGATAGGAGTCAGAGAGAGAGAGACGGTAGCAGGGTAGCATTGCTAGATAAAGTGCACAAAAAAAACCAACTTGACAGTTTTAGCTTTATATGTAATTTAAGCGGGATTTTTTTCCTAGTCACCCATTAGATGGGGAAATACCATTACTATGATTTCATGGGGCATTGAACTTTACACAGAGTATGCTTGCAAGTAAAGGAGGAACATAATTATTATTATTTATTATACAGGATTTATATAGGGCCAACAATTTGCTCAGTGCTTTACAAAATAATATATATAAATGGAGAATGAAACAGAGATTGTGATATTGCCTGAAGTTCCACTTGATTTGCATTTATTTGTATTGTTAACGTATAGAATTCAGCATGTATATAACTCTTTTATTTGAATCCTGACATCTATGCAAAGCAGATTTGCATACTAATGTATTTTATCTGCTGTTGATATCTTTTAACTGGTATAATATAATGATGTGTAATTATTTCACTATTATCCTAATGGCAAATTTAATATTATTGCTGATAATGTTTTATCACAGATGACTTGGTACTGGCTTTCTTTGAACTGGAGATGGCTGCAAATGACAATGCAGCCAGTTCTTTTGAGTACTGAAAAATATTGGGATTGGTGAATGTGTGATTGGATTTTTTCTTCATTGTGATGTATTCCAAAGTTACCTGCTGCTTCGTTCAAAGCATCTGCTTTTCCAGTTCCCAAAGACCCTAAAATATATACAAAGTATTTATTAATAAACCCATTTTTAGTAAGTAATCATTTTGTTTTGGTAAGCATTCATAACTTGAAGTGGAGAACACAGATGTATATAGAGATGAGCTGGTGATGAGGACCTCAGTGTAGGTGAGTATTCCAACATGTGGAGCAGTTCTAAGACTTGGCCCTGACTCGGTCCTTGTCTCAGTTTGAATAGAGCACTGAAACAAATAACTTCTTCCTCTAAAACAGAACTACATAGCATTATAGTTTGGTTAGAGAGGTCAAGCTGATCAGCATCCTAACACCTAGATTACGTAACACATTAGACAAGCACACAGAAATATGGAAGTTTTGAAACATGCACTACTGACAATTGATTTTGCCTTCACGATGGCGGCCTACATTTTAAATCAACTTTCCCCCGAGCTTGCTACCCTTACACCCTTCCCCCTACTCTGTTATAATCTCCCTGTACAAATAATATTTTTCAGATGTGGATTCAGAGCAATTGGAAAATATTTCATAAAACTCCACAAGTTTCAACTACTGGAACCAGTACCAAAATATTGTTGCCCTGATGAAGAGGGCCTCTTGGAAACTCCAAAATGCATAGGATGTTTCTAACTACTGTGATGAGTAAACGTTTGCTGGACTGTCACCAATCTCTTTTAGTTCCTTTCTTCTATAAACTTAAATAGTTATAAGTGGGTATCTGTGTATCTTTTGCCTGGTAATATTAAGGTCCTGGGTTCAGAAACCATGAGAACACTCAAGTTTGAAGGTTCTGAGGAAGAGCAGCACAGAAAGAGTAAGTTCCAGGAGAGGCTGCTATAACTAGATGAGTGACAAAAGGAATCTGGGAAGACTGCATTGGTGGTCAAACTCTTATAACAGTGCCCTTCTCTTAATATGACCCCTCCCCCCACCGGCTTTTTAAGTCTTTCTTGAATGCAAGAAGGACAAGTCATTTAGGCTGCCATTAAGAAATCTGAGTACATCATTGGTTCTACTTTGTACTCCTCAGAATCCTGGACCAGGAGGGAATGACCTTCAGGACTGATTCAGAATTACTAGTTTGAGGAGGAACACATGGAATCAGTTATGGACATAAAGGCATGGAGTCTATATAAAATTTGTAGGTTACTGGGTTAATACAGGCCAAAACTGTGAAGGCTCACTGAACTGAGGAGCCCACAATACAAAAGCCACTAAAACACAAATATATTTAGCCAAAGCTTGTCATCAGGGAAACATGTGGGGCAGGTGCAGACCTCCTCTATCTAGCAGCCCAATTTTTGTCAGAGTCTTCTGCACTTTCTCAGCTTTGACAGTAGGCACTGCTAGAACTACCAAGGCTGAGAAAACAGGAGTGGGTATCCTAGTATGAACACTGTAACTGAAGACGAACAGAATGTGACCAGTGAAATAAATTCACCCAGTTATCATGGATAGAGACATGAAAGATTTATCCTAGGATCTGGTTGCTTCTCTTTGTTTGAGCACTGGACTGTGGAAGATAAGAAGACGAGGATCCAAACTGAAATTCCAGAAAATGGCACAGAGCTTTCCAGAAAGAAAGAGGTACCCTTCTATTTGGAACAATGTTATCGGATGAGCAGAGCAGGTGAACAATTTCCTTGAGAAAAGTTCAAGCTAACCTGGGTGCAATAAATAGACTTTTAAGGTGTACAAATCTTCCCATTAAAAAAAATGACAGCCACCCTAATACCATTTCTTTTGAAAGTGGCCGCTTCATTATAATATTCACAGAAACATGGTTACATTCCGAGGACACAAGAACCTGCAGGTAACCTCCTGGAACCTTTATGCTGAGCAATAGTTTGGCAAGCAGCAACAAAATCAGAAATGTTATTGTGTTATTGTAGTATAGGCCAACAATGAGTGAGGAAAACAAATTATAATGTTCTGTGTAGACCCTAATGACCAACTACTTAAGTAGCATTAAACAAAAAAACAAAAATGTGATATAATGCAGCCTGTGAAATATCTTATGCAGACTTTACAGGTGTAGAGCCCCTCTAGTTAGCCAGGGGCAGCTAGCTAGGTATTTAGTCAGAGGCTGAATAGCAGCCTGGGATGAGTCAGCCAGGTTATTTTTAGGTCAGAGCTGAAGGCTCCGCAGATCAGTTCCCTGATACCTCCTCCTGCTCTAGAAACTTGAGATGTTTCTAAAAGGTAGTGGGTGGGGGTGAGGAGGGGCTGATCTGTATACTTAAGGGATCTTAAAATCCCAAAGCAGGAGGCTTGGCTTGGGCCCAGGACAGCTCTTCAATCTGAGAATAGCCTGATCAGCAGAAGGAGTAATGTTGGTGGAAGATAGAGTGAAGGCTGGAGTGTGGAGCCTGGGACAGGGCCCAGTAGAGGTGCCTACCTGCAGGCAGGAGCTGGAAGGGAGGATCTCTTAGCCTCAACCGTCCCCTGAGAGAGGACAGTCTGGGAAGCAGGGAAGGAGCCAGCCCAGCATAAGGTGTGAAGGCAGCAACCAACCCACAAGCTTGCAGGAGAGGACTGAGTGAGTAATCCCACACACCCTTGGCCAGATAAGGGGAGAGGGCAGTCAGGTGGCCAACCCAACTAACTCTTCATCTAGAGCTGCTCAGCTAAAGTGGCAGTTTTTGGGTTCCTTGCTCAGGGATTCCATCAGGCAACTAGGTGAAGAGGATAATTCATCTGGGGTCTGAGGTGGTACACCAGGAGGCTGGAGAGCTCTCCAAGAAGAGAATCTTTGTCTGTGGAGTTGTAAATAGTTGCTAAGGAGTTGTCCTCAAGTTGCAGTTTTCTTGGGCATTCGATACACCCTTCAACCCTATCCAAGTTCAATACCCCTAATGTAACAACAAAAACAAGCTCAAGGACTGTTTCCTGACTCCAGTGTGCAGGTGTGAAGAAAATGCATGTTGCCTGGCTGTGCAGGAATATAGGGGGACCCAAAACTCAGCGACTCCTAAGGGGGTAGTGCTACACAGGTACCAATGGAGACAAGAAGTTTAAAATTTACAATAATTTATTGATATATAATTGAAAGCTAGTGGACCAAAGCATCCTAAAATACCACATAATGGTATAACATGATATTACATAAAAATGCAAGCATGCCCATTCCAAAAACGGAAGAATTCCTAATACTATTAATACCCTAATGTGTTTTCATAGTTTGTTACAAATAAATTACCTGTGCTATTATGTTGTTGAGATGACAATATGATTAAGGGCCGGTTCCCACTGATGTGGTGTGGAATTCAGAGCCACTCCTGTGCATTTCCCGCACCTCATCACAATTGCACTCTGTTCATGTGAACCAATGTGGGTGTCAATGTTAAGTTAACGACACCCCAAAAATATTTCAGCAAATGCAATATGATCTGATTCCAGTTTGGAAAATAAAGGATCCTACACCATTCATGTGGCTGCGTTGTGGGATTTAAGCCATACAAAATGAATGGTTAAAATCGCACTGCAAAAGAATCACATCTGATTTGAACAGGAATGCAGTGGGATTCCTATCCAAATTTGCACTGAAAAAAAAAACAAAAACTGCCCCTCCTTTGTTTTCTGGCAATTGTTATGGATGTTGTAAAGAGTCAGATGTAGTACTGTGTTTTTCTTTTGGCTTTTTTTCTTCATTTTCAACTGGTGATCTGAAAAGGACACACTTCCTTTCTCCCTACCCTGGTTGGAACAGCAATGAAGACACTTTTGGACATCAGCATGGTCAATCTGGGGAAAGGATAGTGCTAGATGAACTAGCAAACTTTGATGGAATTGTCTGACAAATTAAAGCTGAACACCAGCTAACAATTTTAAGCAGTTACAGCAATAATATTTTTCCTTTAGGGAATAAGATTTTACACAAATGAATAAAAGATGATCATTGAAAGCACCTCGTTAGTGTTTTATTGATTTGTCCCAACCCTCTAACTGCAGCTGTAGCAGGACGGCTTGGTCTGGTAAAGGAAGTTGAAAAAAATAACATGTTTACTGAATTGATTAACAGGTGCAAATTGCGGACTGACAACTCATGGGGCCCCCGGGCAATATGGGATCTTGGGGCCCCTGTGTCCTTGCCCAAACAAAAAAGCCTATGAAAAAGGTACTAGGGGAATCTCATGGGGCCCCCTACTGACCCTGGGCCCTCGGGCAGTGCATGAGTTTTCAAATGGTCAGTCCGCCCCTGGGTGCAATTAAAGAGAAAAAATACCAAAAAAAGACATAGTAGGCTGTGGTGTATCATAATTCATACTATAATTAAGCGTTACACGCTGTTTTCCATTCATTATCCTTTGTAATGCAAATGAGGTTGTAAGACCCAGTTTAGTGAAAAGTGAAAACCCACTGCCCTGCAGTTGATTGAACAGTTCTGATATTAATGATAGAAGGAACTTGTTTTACAAGTTTATTTTATTTATTATTACAGTTGCCTGTAATCAATACAAGAGTAGAGAGAGAACCATCTTTCTTCTTTTTTATACACTTGGATAGTGCCATAGTCTCGGGCAATGAGAGTAGGTACACAGAATATCATGGAGGAGGATTCCAGGAAACAGCCCAAAGGCACAATCTTAAGGCAAGTGAGATGGTAATGTCTCCGCTTTTTACTTCTTAAACATGTCCTTAAAGTTTCAGTGTGGCTGAAGCAATTCTGGTGATGGTGTAGTTAGTGATACTCAAGGCATGAGTGGGGAAACGTTTGGGATGAACTATAGTGCGTAGGTGGCTCTCCAGGTCAGTATATCCCCAGAACACAAGCCCACTAACAATACAAGGGTCCTCAACCAGAACGACTTTCACATATTCAGAAATGCAACTGTCTTTGTAAGGATCATTCAAGTTTAACAAAAAACAGGAATGATGGTATACAGGATGTTGTAGTTACATTAATCTCCAAAATGGTTTGACAAAAGGACCAATTGGGTTCTTATGCTTTTTGACCAAAGCCAAATATTTGACATTTGTTGCAGACCAGGGGTCCAGGATGGCCTTGGCCTAGAAGCTGATCTTGTTATGGCAGTTCAGAAGTGAAAAGGAGACTTGCTATAGGAATTAGAATTTGGGAGTCTTCTGAGAAAGTGTTTCTAGCTTTCTTCATATAGCAGGAGTCAGCAAAATGCACTTTCTCTGTGCAGTACAGTCAAAGATCAGGTCATGGTGTGCTGACAATTGAGAGCCAGGAGAAAAGACTGCTAAGTCAGATGTTGCTCCTTAGTATTCTCCTGAAGCTAAATATCAACTATAATGCAGTGATGAATAAGATGATCCAGGGTAGTGGGTTGATTTCAGCCAGCCAACTCATCTTTGGTGCATTCTGATAAGTGTAAATACCATCATGGCTTCATTGTTCTAATTCAATTCTGAAGTCAGGATGTGGAAGCATACTACATACTGTCACGCAGAAGAGAATCTCAGAAACTAGAGAAAAAAAGCATGACAGAATACAATAGTAGAGAATCTTGGTCCTGTCAAAAGGAATATTCCCAGTTAGCAATTTGAACTTGATCTGACATTGATTCAAGAAGCCAAGGCAGAGCTGCTGGTTCCTGGAGTATGGAGCATGAGATGGCACTTGTGGTGATCCAGCATCTGTCAGCATAGGTACTGGTTCTGGCTCTGAGGCCTGTAGAGCCAGCTGTCGAGTTGTTACTGGAGTCAACAGCTGAGCAACTTGCTGGAGTGATTCATAAATGTTGTTCAACTTTGCCTCATTCTTTTGGACCCAAAAATAAAGTGTTGATGGATTCCATGGCTTCAGCAAACTATAACATGTTGTGGTCGAAGGTAGGCCCCTTGTCTACCATAAATGGTGCAAGCTTACCAAAGGATGCAGAAGTCTGGTTCTGACCAGGGCACCACTCAACGGGCATTGGGCATAAGAGGCAAACTCCCCAAGGAATTGAACACCAGGATTGCCTTACTAAAGACAGCTGAGTGAACTGAAGGTGAAGCACCAGGTCATCCGGCAGATGTGTAGTCAAAGGCAGGCCAGAGTTTAGGGCTGGCAGCAGGCAGACATAGCTGGTAGACACAAACAATGCAGGATCATAACCTGGAAGTCAGTCAGAAGGGTAGCAGGAATCAAGGGCGAGGACACCAGGAGCACAGTATCGGACACAGGATGCAGCAACAGGGTACTGGAAACAGGAACAGGATTGAGAGTAAACACCTGGACTCAGGAACACTAGGAACTTTTTGCTCAAACATCTTGCTTAAGCTGAACACAAATACTGTATTAATAACATATAATTTAGGGAACCTGCCCATAGGTGCATATGGGAGAAACAAGTGAGTAGTACTGACTTAAACATTTAGATAGCTGGGGGAGGGTGCCTATGGAATACTTGAGATCAAGTGAGTAGTACTGACTAAAACCACCCGATGACGTGCAAACCTGTGGAACAGTCAAGGTTGACTCCAATGTGGAGGACCAGCACAAGAAGGGAAAGGAAAGTTCCAGCATAGGCTGCTGGACTGGCTTAGTAATAGCAGTAGTCTGGGAAGCCAAAACCACTTCACTGTTAGTAGGTCATACAAGTCGAGATGGACTCATGACAAGACATGACATTCTTTTGAATGACCTTCTATATATGCACACAAGTAGATTGTAAGGGTGCACATGTTTATAGGTATTGGGAAAATGTAAGAGCATCTCCGGGGCTGAAGTACTGTATGTAAGTAAAAAAAAATAAAAACACCTGACCATCCAAAAAATGTAATGCAGCTAATAATTGGTCTCTCCTGTGATTATTTAGGATGTCTATGGAGGTCTGTTTGTAACCAAAGCCATGGAAGACAACTGATCCAGACAAAGCCCATTCACACTTCTCTGGATGTGTTGCGTCAATGCCCCTTTGGGGTTGATTTACTAAAACTGGAGAGTGCAAAATCTGGTGCAGCTCTACACAGAAATCAATCAGCTTTTTTTGTCAAATTATAATTGAACAAGCTGAAGTTAGAAGTTGATTGGCTACCATGCACAGCTGCACCAGATTTTTCACTCTCCAGTTTTAGTAAATCAACCCTATTGTGTCAAGCTTTAATTGTGTTGTGTTAAGGCAGCCAGTTTAAATGATTAACTCACTAGAACAGATAAAAAATGTACATGCCACTTTTTATTTTTTTGACTCAGCCCATCACAACACATGGTAGTGTGCCACAATGAATAGCACCACGAGGCACTAACACCACTTAATGTGTGTTAATATGCGTTGTAGTAAACCACACATCACCACACGTTACCCTAATGTATAATTCAGCCCTTAGACTTCATGCATGTAGTGTTTGCAAAAACCACACGGATCTAAAAGAGTTAACTGCTTTCCATGTAATTAAAGAAGATATATCTAACATAGTGTGATTAATTACAGAGCAGGCCTCCTTTATGCAATAATCCACACCAACCAATCAGAGATCAGCTTTCATCTGTAAGCAGTAGTCTTAATAATGAATGTTGATACATTTTGGCCTCAAGGGCTTTGAGTTAGACAACATATTTAAAATGATTTACCTTGAGGACCATTCTGTATTAATTTAACGGATGCTCTGCCAGAACCACCAATGCCATTTGATTGAGGACTGTTGGATTTCTGTGTGACAGATAAAACAGGAAGAATGTGACTGCACTGACAATGCCAGAACACCACAATACATCTAAACATCATTATAGTAAACATATCAGAATGTTGTTAACATTGCCTGTAGTCCAAACGTTTCCATTCAAAAGTCATAATTTCCACACACCAGTTCATAAATTGATAACCAATAGCGGCTTAAAAATATCAATATGCACCACATCTCGAGAAATATGCTATAAAATGAAAAAGATCTACAAATATTGGGACTTTTCTGGTGCTACTTTCGATCAAAATATATACAGCAAGATCTGTTAAAAATGAACACATCTTTTATTTATTAGCATAACATTTGTTTTTTATATTAAAAAAAACACTAAAAAAGGCTAACAAGACAATGAAACTAGGTATGAGTACTTTTTTTGCATATCACAAATATATTATCAACTACAATTAAATTTTTCACCAAACAACTACCCTGCTTCATCCTCTATATACAACATATCATAGGTACTGCTTAGGAGTGAGACCACTTGTAATCCTGTGTAGACGATTAAGAACAAATCTGCCCCGAGGAGCAAGGGTACAGTTCTTCAATGCATTTCTCAGGGTTTATGACCTGCTTCATCAGGAAATGGCAGGATAGGTTTATGATGAAATGACTATAAGTAAGATATGTTCGAATGGCAGTGCACCTCAGTTAAAGGTGATGCAAGCAGATAAAATGGAGTATTTGGGAAGGCTCCAGGCAAGAGGGATCTTGGGACACAAAAAACAGAAGGGAGATCTTCATGAAAGCATCATTCTTATGGGTCCCACCGATAACTGACCATCCGACTAGAGGTGTCTAAATACACATCCAAATCTCTTTTTGCCCTTGTCCATTGAATAGAAGATACCTCTATGTGGAGGTGTATGTAGATACCTCTATGTGGAGGTGTATGTAGATACCTCTATGTGGAGGTGTATATAGATACCTCTAGATGGATGGTCAATTATCTGTGGGACCAATGCATTTGACGCTTTTAAAAAAAGATCTGAGGCAGAGTAATGTGTTTTTTGCAGGAATTTGTCATCCCCACACCAAATTCCTAGTGAATGGTGGTAGAGACACATCCAATGGTGATGTTACTGGGTCTCAAAGAGGTATTATTTTGAAAAACAAAATGATATGATTGAAAAAATAATGGCATGTGTATCAGGAGGGAAGAGTAACAGAAGGTATTATATGCTAATTGCAAGAAAATGCTTTGTGTTAGGGGTGTTTTTAAGGTTGGTGACATGTATTCATATAGACTTTACTGTTTTCAGCAAATGACATCTCCTTCTGTTGCAGGCTGACAACCCTAAGCAGCTACCTCGCAATTAGCAGCAGCGTTGTCAGCCTGCTGTAGGTGCTTCTTAAAGTGGCTGTTGTCTGATAGATCTGATAGGCAGTCCAATGGCCAACAGGAGGCAGTCAATGGTTATTCTAGTTGATAGGCAGTTGCTTAGCATTTGAAGCAAACACACTGCTTCAGGTCAGTCCATTATATATAGAATCAGTTTCACATAATAGGTTACCAGTCCAGTTTACAGCCACAGAGTACAGTCTACAAGAAGACGGGTGACTGCACTCAAGAGTTTAGAAACTCCAAATGATTTATTTGTAATTCATTAAAAGTTTGCCTTTTAATAGATTACAAATAAATCATTTGGAGTTTCTACATTCTTGAGCGCAGTCATCCGTCTTCTTCAGTTGCTTAGCATTGTCAGTATGTAATCTGAAGTGTTGTTACTGTCAGGATCTTCAAGAAACTTTGCAAAGGATTTACAAAAAAACTGCATACATTGATACTGCACAAGTATATCAAGTAAATTGGTGACTGATCAAATGCCCCACATCCTGTACAATATCAAGAAAATACAATACACTTTAAATGGAACTTTCCTGGTGCCAGACATTTATCACACATTTTTAAAATTTATATTTTTATTGATAGATTATAAAATATTGACCCTTAAAATTTACATAATATCACTTCACATTTACTAAAATTTGATTATTTATTTGATTAGATTTTGAGATGATAATTCACTCAAGAAACATCAGTATAGTTCATTGTTAACCCAGGTGACATATGGTCAAGTGAGAGCATAAGGGGACATTGCTGACAGGTAACTCAGTACATGTATACCACTGTGCAATTAGAAAAATATTAAAAAAAAATGTGTCAAGTACAAGTTAAGTAAAAATGTATTAAGGTAGACAATGTAGATAAAGCCTTGAAAATGTATATATATATATATATCAATCAAAACAAAGGTAAGTGAGCGCAAAACACAGAGAGAGCTGCTCGCATATAAGGTAATCTTCAGCACCTCAAAAGAAATAATATGTATAATAATACATAATAATAATACATATTATATATATATATCAGCCATAAATTTATAACCACTGACAGGAAAGGTAAATAACATTGATTTTCTCATTACAATGGCATCTGAAGTCAGTGGGATATATTAGGCAGCATGTGCACATGCGTAGCTGCAGAGCGGTCAGGATGCCCATGCTGACCCCTTTCCACAGCCAAAAGCTCCTACAATGAGCACATGATCATCAGAATTGGACAATGGAGCAATGGAAGAAGGTGGCCTGGCCTAATGAATCACTCTTTTACATTATGTGGGTGCATCACTTACCTGGGGAATAGGTGGCATCAGGATGCAGTATGGGAATAAGGCAAGTTATTGGAGGCAGTATGATGCTCTGGCAGAGTTCTGCTGGGAAACCTTGTGTTCTGCCATTTATACAGATGTTACTTTGACATGTACCTCCCACCTAGACATTGTTGGTGACAAAATACACCCTTCGAATAAATGGTATTCCCTGGTGGCAGTGGTCTCTTTCAGCAGGATAATGTGCCACGTTAAACTGCAAAAATGGTTCAAGAACGGCCTCCAAATTCTTCAAGTCTCAATCCAATTGAGCTTCTGTGGGATGTGCTGTAATAACAAGTCCAATCCATGGATATCCCACTTCCTACAGGACTTAAAGGATCTGCTACTGATGGCTTGGTGCCAGATACCACAGCATACCTTCTAGTGGTCTGCATGCATGCCTTGATGGGTCACGGCTGGGTGGTCATAAAGTTATGACTGACCGGTATATAAATATATATAATTAGCTTTATTGATATCTGAAGAAGCGAAGAGCTGTATGAGACAATAGAATATGCAACAGGGTATAAGCTATCAGGGTAAATATCTGAGTTCTATTGTTTAGACATAAATTTTAGAACATGTAATGTAACATGTACATTACAATGGTCAATATTTTATAATCTATCATTAAAAATATATTTTTTTATATAAAAATGTGGGATGAATGCCTAATACCAAGAATTTCTCATCAACATCAAAGTGTATTGTAAATTCTTGATAATGCCAAACAATAAAAAATAGAATTGGGGTTTACATACACTTTAAAAATACAGAAACATTCCCAATTATATCTAGATTACAGATGCTTTTAAATTATTATAATAAATCTGCTGATCATTTACCCTGTTCATTGTAATCTTACCACATCAGCAGGCAATGGTTTGTTGTTCATCTTTATTGATGACTTCTCATTTGCTTTGAAAGCCTTTATAGGATTGGATAGTGCATGAGTGAGGTCTGCAGACAAATGTACAAAACAAATATTGGTTACCTTCAGAAAGTCTTTGGCCCAAAGTCCATACTAGCCAAATGAAGACACCATATGAACACTGCACAATGCAGATAATATCCCAGTTTGAATTACAAGGCCATATAGAATGCATCACAAAGTAAAACTTGTTTGGAAAATTTGCAAAAAAAAGTAGAGCATTGGTATTGGTAATACCTGCCCATGCATCCGGTATGTAGTCTTTCACTTCTACGTACACAAACAAAGAGGGCATGGTGAGTGCCATATTACTTTCACTGCGAAGGCACATGTGGTGATAACCTGTTAAAAAATATATTTTTATTTATACCATTAAAGCATTAATAAATAAAATAGTAAGCTTTTTCCACTAAGCAGCAACATTTTTTCACCTCCAACTAAGCTGTCTCTTGCAAACTACCTCTTAGGAACAATCTATGTTATTTATTATTTATTTCAAGTACTTATATAGCGCCATCAATTTACGCAGCACTTTACATATATATTGTACATTCACATCAGTTCCTAAGGCTGCATTCACGCTCAAGTGTTTTGTAGCTTGAAGCTCCAAAAACGCTCAAACGCTTAAAAAAAATCAATTGTTCTCTATGGTGCCTGTTCCTGCAATCAGGTGTGAACAGGCACCATAGAAAACAATTGTTTTTTTAAGTATGAGCTTTGAGCTTCAAAACACTCAATTGTGAATGCAGCCTTAGCCTCAAGGGGCGTACAATCTAAGGCCGCTAACCTAAATTCATACATACACATATGATGGCCAATTTAGACAGGATCCAATTAACCTACCAGCATGTCTTTGGAGTGTTGGAGGAAACCAAAGTAACCGGAGGAAACTCACACAGGCACAGGGAAAACATGCAAACTCCAGGCAGGTGGTGCCGTGGCTGGGATTCAAACCAATGACCCTAGTACTGCCAGGCGGAAATACTAACCATTTAGCCACGTTGCTTATTTCAATGTATTGTAACATTTTCAGATTTTAAGATTGTTGTCTCAGTAATGTTATGCCCAAAAAGCATCTGCCACAGCCAATCGCATAACAGCAACTGGTCTGGCCACTTCTTGAGTATGCCGTCCACTTTTGGTCCCCAGTCCTCAGGAAGAATGTCTTTAAACTGGAGAGAGTCCAGAGCAGGACAACAAAGCTAATGAGAGGGCTGGAGGACGTCAGTCATGAGGAAGGATTACAAGCATTAAACTTATTCTTCCTAGAGAAGAGATGATTAACCTCCCTGGCGGTCTGATTATTTCAGATTTTTGGTGCTGAAAGCGGTACCATTATTTTGCATGGAAATATGTAGTTTTTTTATTGTAGGCTGTAATTTTTAGGAATAACTCACTGAAATCTGTCTGAACAAGAGTCTATTAAACATCCCGGGTATGATAAAATTTGAAACACGAAATCATAAATTATAATTTAATAAATAATCATAAAAATAATAATATAATAATAATAAATTTAATTCAATATTATAATCAAACCAAAAACACTGAAATTTGAAATAGAACGCCAAGTTAGCACATTGCTGAACAAAGTCGCAAAATCGTTTTCAGTGTCTGATGACGAATTTCCCCACAAATCATTATCACTCAATTCTGCAAATGGTTCTCATTTACTATCGCTGTTCTCTAGCTGATCTAAACCCGCTTTTGACATAAAGGGACGCTTTTTGGACGCCATGGACTTTTCTCAGTTTCCAGGCAGAAAGAACAGACAAAATGCAGGCAGGGCAAAGGAAAAAGCACTCGGGACAAAATGTATGTGAAATGGGTTGAAACAGTAATGTTATACTATGTAAAATTTGTTTGAAAAAAGATGACATTTTTTTAAAAATTTCAAATTTGTAGCCGGCGGCGCCTGTATGTCCCGACGTCACAGGGACCGGAACACAGAAGCCGGATGCAGGCATCGGCCGGAGGAGATGGCCGGGGACACTGCAGGGGACACATCGCGGGAGCCAAGGACAAGGTAAGCTCTGCAGGGACTCCCTATGCAGCGCCACATGGTAAGCCTAAGTGTAGCTCGGGGTTACCGCTTTTGGCACTGACATTTTACCCCGAGCTACACTCGGGAATACCGCCAGGGAGGTTAAGAGGAAATATGATAGTGATATACAAATATCTTAATGGTGATTCCAACATTAGAAGGGAATTATTCAGTCCCATCTCACTCAAGAAGACATGTGGCCACTCAATGAAGTTGGATGAGAAGCGGTTTAACCTTAAACTGCATATGGGGTACTTTACTGTTAGAGCGGTACAAATGTGGAACTCCCTTCCACAATTGGTGGTTTTATCTGGAAGTGTTACTAATTTAAAAAAGAAGTTTAGATGAGCATCTTAATAAACACAATATACAGGGATATGGGACATGGTAGAGGCATAAATACACACACACGCACCCACACAGGTTGAACTACATGGACTGTATTCAACCTTACCAGCTATGAAACTATTGCAAATGTTGGCTGTCCTACTTTGCTTTTGTGGATGTCACACGAAGGCTTAGTTCTCATATACATTTTTACCACCCCTCAGCTGCTCTCCCTAAGCTGCAAAGGGGTATATACATGCCAGAGATGCAATGCTTTGCATTGCGGTGTAGCAAAAATGATTCCTGCTGTAAAGATTCCCCTTCAAGTGAATGGTGCCATGTCATAAGTGCAATGCACTTGGATGGTTGCAGAAGATTGGTGTGGGTTTCTATAAGTTAAAAAAGTGGCAACTCCTCCTCATCACCTGTTAAACTCCCTCTGGAGAGCGATCCACCATGGATCACCCTTCAGAGAATATAAACGAGCCCTTAACTGTCTAAAACATTTTGCTAAATAAGAGTCGACTCAACCTGATCTGCACTACCTGTGCACCTGACTCTGATGGTAGCTTCACTGAATACAAATGAATAAAACATGTTTGAAAACCAAGGCCCAGTGCCACAAATAAACAAGTTTAAACTCCACTACCAAACGTATTTCTGAATTTTGTAAGAATATGACATTTGGACACATAACCATAGCCATTTGGAATACCTGATCTGATCACATGAATTGGAATGATCCGATGACCAATGAACTTCCCTCCTTCTTCAAATGCAGCAACTCTTAAAGAAGCCATCTCCGGCATAAGAATCTGGAAACAGCAAGAGGAAAAAGTAGGATGATATATCTCCCCTATTATAGAACATGGCATCACAAATAAGTATATTGTAGATACAAGGGAACATTCTCTATGACATTATATTATATTTCAATTGAGGTCTTCATATAGCCAGTACCTTTTAGTGATCGCTGATGTTGTTTGTGGTGGCTTCTCATTATAGAGCTGTCTGGGAAATGTATCTCAAAGCAATATATTGGTGATCTCTCCACTCTCCCCTTCCCTAAATGCCAATACTGCAAGCCTTTCAGCAAATTTGGCTCAGTGATATAAAGCATAAGACCATTCACAGTGATCCTAACATCCAAAACAGTTGATAAGAGTTTCTCAGAATATTAAAACATATTTGGCCAACTACTATATAAAGGTCAGCAGGATGTCCACATCATCCCACTGTGTTGTGATTGAATTATTTGTACAGATTTTTTTATTGAGTCACAGCCTAGAGTTCCTGTGATTTTCTTTCCTGACACCTGTTTTGCTGCCCCCCATCATATCATGTTATTTAATTTAAAATGATTTTAAACCCTTACATATATCCAGTGAAGTGACTGGTCTCAGGTGATACACAGAGATGTAACAAATCCTCTTACATAAGTTGTACCTGTATATCTGAAGTCTTCTCTTCTCTACATCAGTTCAAAGTACTGACTTTATCAAGCTTGTCTGAGAGTTCAGAAAAAAGGGGATGGACTGCTGAAGTTAGACTCTGCAGAGCTCAGTGAGGAGAGTACCGAGAGGTGATTGGATGGAAAACATCGCCTTTCACACAGCACAGAGGGACAGAATTGAGGCTGTCACTCTGCTGGAGATCTCTCCTCTGTCGCCATTTTTCTCTTGGTGTCAGGAAAACTTTTCAGAAGTGACTTATACAGATAGCAGAGGAACGAAGCCACAGACAGAAACTATACTTGGTGCTCTTAATTGAGACAAGTATACACTATAGAGGGATATGCTTTGTTCATATTTCATGTCTGAGGTTTACATCCACTTCCAATTTTAGAAGCTTCAGCAAGTCAGATAGAGCCCGCCTCATTTCCTGATAGGGGGACATGCAGCATCATTTGGTTCCTTTATTCCCAGTCTTGCTGTCTATGGCTTACCCCTTTAATTAATTGGGTTTCAATTCTTTCAGTCATAGAGGCTCAGCATCACATGTTGGGTGACCTAGGACAGTATGTATGCAAATGCATCCTGTCTAGGAGCACCCACTGCTCCAGACTAACATCCAACTATAAAGGCATTTTGTATTTTACTCCTCACAATAATCAGCCTAACACTTGCATCAGGGCTGAGTGCTCCTCTTGAGAGAAGTATGGAAGTTATGATGTTTTCAGAAAGCTATGCACAGCACCCTGCTGATCTTTCCCACCAGCCAACCCAGAAATGATATCACTAGGTCAAAAATACATTGGGATAGATTTGCTTAAACTCGTGCATTTAGAATGTGGTGAAGCTGTGCATGGTAGCCAATTAGCTTCTAACTTCAGTTTGTTCAATTAAGCTTTGACAATAAAACCTGGAAGCTGATTGGTTTCTATGCAGAGCTGCTCCAGATTTTGTACTCTCCAGAATTAGTAACTAAACCCCATTGTGTAATGAAAACAGAAACGTTTTATTTAAACATTTTCAAAGCATGTTGATAAGAGGGGAATGGAGGAACTAGGAAAGGAATTAACCTGGAAAGCAAATTAAATTTACGGTTCAATCTCTTTTTCTAATGCAATTAATGCAATTGCTGATCAGACAATGAAGGAACAGCAGCGCACTGATGAAATCATCTATATGCTCACTCCATGTGCTGGTATTGTTGAACAGAAAACACTGTGATAAGTAATAGAGCTGTTACTGAGGCAAGTCAAACATGATGCAATTTTCTTTCCTTCGAGAAAAGAAGGGAAAGAAGGGATATGCTTGACACTTTTAAGTACATTAAGTTTCAAGATGGCAGATATTTCAATATAAAGCTCAGGATCAAGAAGACATAAATACAACCTCAAATCAACAGACAGAAAGTTAAAAACTAATCTTCGAAAATATAATTATACTGAAAAAGTAGTTGATGTTTGGAATAGACTTCCAGCAGAGGTAGTGCGCAGGGATGAGCTTGAGTTTGGTCCAATATGGGTTTAATCCAATATTGACCCAATATAGCAAAGGGGTGGAGATACCAGTGACATCATTAACCTAATATGGGGAATTCAGGGAGTGCCATGGCTGCAGTTGAATGGATGGCAGTGAGCAGGAGTGAGGGCTTCTCTCTGGGTTTGGTCTAAACTCCAGTTCGGACCAAATCTGATCTCATCCTACTTATGAGTCAGTAAACTGTAAGTGAAATTCAACATGCTTGAAACAAACATAGATCTATACTGAACCCCCCCCCCCAAACAATAAGGCCTTTTTCTGCCTTCACTCTTCTGAGTTTCTATGTCAAATGCAAGATAACAGAGGTAAGTAGCTGGGTTTGTAGGTATTAGCACAACGGATTTAATTTTTTTTGCACTATTTTCTAAATTTGCCATTTTGCAGTGATCCCTGAAGAGTTGTAAAAAATGTGGAAGTGGCCTATTTTACAAGACGTCAAGGCATAGTTGCTAGACAAATTCCTTATTAAATGCAGCTATCTGGCACAGACAAGTTTCATACATTAGTAAAGACATTGCAGAGTTTGCACCTTTTCAAACACAAAAGGCTCTTCTTTCCAAACAGGGTTTATAGAGTTTGCAATTGAAGTCAATTTTGTTTTGTATTTCCGCTTGGGATCCCCAGGTAATCCAAATAGCTCCACCTCTACGTAGGCCTTCACGCATTTGTCACTGAGGAACTGCCCTGAGATTACCTGTATTCCAAAAGAAACAAAGGGTTAGCAGTTCTAGCCTTGACTTGAGTTACTGTCACTAAAGAATTTGTTTTTGATTTTTTCTCCACATTGGTGGGGTCAAATCGATTTTCGTTGACGATTAAGAAGAAAATTCGAAGGATGCAAGGATGGAAGGAGCACCAAACCAAATGATCAAAGAGTTCAAACTAATATTCTGGTTTACACTAAAAAACATCCAACACATTTTTGGGGTCAAAGGAAGCTCCCTTTTCAATAGGACTTCAGTTAAAATAAGAACCTTGAATGTACTCAAAATAGGGCTTTCCTGAATCTATGTAGGGAAGCCAATTGCTGGACTAGGAAAGTTATCCTCCTAGATTGTAAGCTCCAAGGAGCAGGGCCCTCAAATCCTTCTTGTATTGAACTGTATTGTTGCTGTATTGTCTCCCGTTATATTATAAAGCACTGAGCAAACTGTTGGCACTATATAAATCCTGTATAATAATAATAATAATAATCTGCATCTGTGTGAGCAATCACATCTGGTGCAGCTCTGCATAGAAACCAATCAGATTCCACATTTTATTTTTGCTTAAGCTTAATTGAACAAGCTGAAGTTAGAAGCTGATTGGCTACTGTGCACAGCTGCACCTGATTTTTGTACTCTCCGGTTTTAGTAAATCGGCCACAATTATTTTTGAAGTGCTTTAAATGACATTCTGCTGATACCCCTTTAAACATTTGGCTGGGAGAACTCTCTGGCCTTTTACCATAAAAGAGTCTGCCATACAAGTTAGAGTGAACTGACACTTTGATTATTTGTAAATTCAGATGGTTAGCACAGTACAATTAAGCACATTAAGAAGACAAGAAGGTACAGTTGTGTTCAAAATAATAGCAGTGTGTTGAAAAAAGTGAATACAGCTCAAAATCCTTTTAATAACTTTTATTTCCATACACACAAATGCATTGGGAACACTACACATTCTATTCCAAATCAAAACATGAAGAAAAATATATCAAATTTGTGTTGTTCTTCTAAAAAAATTGAAGAAAAGGGAATATTAGACTGTTCAAAAAAATAGCAGTGTTTGTATTCTTCTTTACAAACTCAAACATTCACTATATAAACTGAAAAATATTTGAAGATTTTGCTTTCCTTTGAATCACTTAATGAATATTTAGTTGTATAAGCACTGTTTCTGAGAACTGCTGTACATCTGTGTTGCATGGAGTCAACCAACTTCTGGCACCTGTGAACAGGTATTCCAGCCCAGGATGATTGGACTACATTCCACAGTTCTTCTCCATTTCTTGGTTTTGCCTCAGAAACTGCATTTTTGATGTCACCCCACAAGTTTTCTATTGGATTAAGATCCGGGGATTGGGCTGGCCACTCCATAACGTCCATCTTGTTGGTCTGGAACCAAGATGTTGCCCGTTTACTGGTGTGTTTGGGGTCGTTGTCTTGTTGGAACATTCATTTCAAGGGCATTTCCTCTTCAGCATAAGGCAGCATGACCTCTCCAAGTATTCTGATGTATTCAAACTGATCCATGATCCCTGGTATGCGATAAATAGGCCCAACACCGTAGTATGAGAAACATCCCCATATCATGATGCTTGCACCACCATGCTTCCCTGTCTTCACAGTGTACTGTGGCTTGAAATCAGTGTTTGGGGGTCCTCTGACAAACTGTCTCCGGCCACTAGACCCAAAAAGAACAATCTTACTTTCATCAGTCCACAAAATGTTGCGTAATTTCTCTTTAGGCCAGTCAATGTGCTCTTTGGCAAATTGTAACCTCTTCAGCACACGTCTTTTTTTTCACCAGTGGGACTTTGCGGGGGCTTCTTGCAGATAGCTTGGCTTCACATAGGCGTCTTCTAATTGTAACAGTACTCACAGGTAACTTTAGACCTTCTTTCATCTTCCTGGAGCTGATTGTTGGCTGAGTCCTTGCCATTTTGGCTATTCTATCCATTCGAATGGTAGTTTTTCGCTTTCTTCCACATCTTTCAGGTTTTGGTTTCCATTTTAAAGCATTTGCGATCATTTTAGCTGAGCAGTCTATCATTTTCTGCACTTCTTTATATCTTTTCCCCTCTCCAATCAACCTTTTAATCAAGGTACGCTGTTCTTCTGAACAATGTCTGGAACGACCCATTTTTCTCAGAATTTCAGAGAGAAATGCACTGTAACCAGCATGTACAACATTTGCTGCCTTCCTTCCTTAAATAAGGGCAATAATTGCCACCTGTTTTTCAAAGAATGAATGACCTCACTAATAGAACTCCACACTGCTATTATTTTGAACATGCCCCTTTCAATTAGTGATTCAATTACACAGAATCAACAGCATGCATGTCATGACTGTTGGGTCTGTTGGATTTCTATTACTCTACTACACCTGCTAGTAAATTATTTGCCATGTAGAAATATAATTTCTACCAAAAACAGTGATTGATCAGGTTAGTGATGTCTGACTGCTATTATTTTGAACACAACTGTATGTGCAAGAGAATGACAGTTAACACTCTTAACAAACTGAAAGGGTTTCAACATAGCACACTCAAATTCATTCTTTTATATGTCTTAAAATTCAGCGCCTCAGCCCTGAGACGTGTTCCATCAAGTGAGCAGAATGAGAAGCAATCAGATTAAAGAACTAGCTCACTTTGGGCCCTCAGGTAATGGTGGCTTGGTTCAATTCTGGAAGAGGAAGAGCTCTGTAAAAGGATGGATCAATGTCTTTTTAAACTACAATGTTCAATCTTCTGTGCACTCGATGGGGCCCTGGTTGGTGCATAGAAAGATTGCAATCTTTCTTGATGCAAGGGTTCTACAAAGAAGGTGAACATAAAGTAAGAGAAACTGCTCCCTTAGGTGTTGCTGAATTAGGATGATGTCCCTTTAACACTCCTGGGGTGAAACCATAGAATTTGGCTGAGATTGAGAAAAAGAGGGGGGAGGGAGAGAACACACTTCTGTAGTAGAATGGAAAGGTTCAAGGTTCCCTGGTGAATGGTGTAAGCTGGGTTTGAGGCACTAAGGCAGCTTGAAGCGCAGGGTGCAGATATTGCAGTAGGCTCTTGTGATTCATTATGCTGAAAGTTTGCAATGATTAGTAGGCCACAAGGCTAGATGGGCCAAACAATATAGGCTGTAACACTTGTAACTTGTAGAATGGAGAATACTAAGTTGAGAAAAGAGTAACTGAGTTTAGCAATGTCTTTTGTAACTTAGATAATTTGGCGTATGGAGCTCTCTCGCCCAATCCGTGGCTGTGGTCAGGTAGCGGATAGTCTCTGTGCAGATGGGGGCTCCCCGTATTCTCTGGATTCCTCTGACACTGATCACTCAGATGACAGCACTCTGGTCTGCCCATTTGCTGGGTTAACATTCCAGCTTGCCAGCAGTCAGAGGTCTCCAGCTCTTCCTCTCTCTTTCACTCTCTCTTCCCGTGCTTTGGTATATATCTGCCCCTGCTCATCAGCCAGTTCATTTGGGAAAATAGCAACCAATCCACTGCCTGTTACCATGAAAAGCATGTCCCACATATCCTGCCCTCTGTCTAGGGCCTTCTGTCTTCTACCTGCTGTGTAAGGTAGGATCAAAAAGGTTGTAGGAGGGATGTGATTGGCAGGAGGTAATGTGAGGGAGGGGGTATTCATATAAAGGGCACTGCAAGGAAGGAATAAGGTCTGTGAAGGGGGCAAGTATACAGAAAAGGGGGTTGAAAAGGGGATTGGGGTTCAATGAGGGGGACTAAGAAGCATGTAAGAGATGTTGTAAAGGAGACTGGGGCACAAAAAAGGAGGGCTGTAAAGGGTAGTGGGGTGCAAGGCTAGGGGTCTGTGAAGTGGACTGGGGTGCAAGAAAGGGAGGCAGTGAAGTAAGCTGGGGTGCAAGGAATGGGGGTTGTAAAGGGGACTGGGGTGCAAGGAAGGGGGATTGTAAGGGGGACTAGGGTGCAAGTAAGGTTGGAAGTGTGATGAGGACTGAGATGCAAGTAAGGAGGAGGCTTTAAAGGTGACTGGGGTGCAAAAAAGGGGGGCTGTGAAGGGGACCAGGGTACAAGGAAGGAGGGCTGTGAAGAGGATTGAGATGCAAGTAAGGAGGAGGCTGTAAAGGGGACTGGGGTGCATGGAACAGGGGGCTGCGAAGGGGACTGGGTAAAGGTAAGGGGGGCTGTAAAGGGAACTGGGGTGCAAGGAAGAGGGGCTGTGATGGGTACTGGCATTCAAGTAAGTGGGGCTTTGAAGGGGACTAGGATACAAGGAAGGAGACTGTGAAGGGGACTGGAGTACAGGTAAGGGGAGCTGTAAAGGTGACTGGGGTGCAAGGAAGAGGGGCTGTGATGGGTACTGGCATTCAAGTAAGGGGGGTTGTGAAGAGGACTGAGATGCAAGTAAGGAGGAGGCTGTAAAGGGGACTGGGGTGCAAAAAGGGGGGCTGTGAAGGGGACTAGGATACAAGGAAGGGGGGCTGTGAAGGGGACTATAGTACAGGTAAGGGGGGCTGTAAAGGGGACTGGGGTGCAAGGAAGAGGGGCTGTGATGGGTACTGGCATTCAAGTAAGGGGGTCTTTGAAGGGGACTGGGATGCAAGGAAGGGGGCTGTGGTATAAAGGGGTGACCGAGGATACTCACTCAGTCCTTCTCCTGTGCAGATGGTGGGTTGGCGGCTGCTACCAGGCCTTCTAGCTGGGTCCCTCCTGCCCTGTTACACAGATGGTCCTCGTTCTGAGGGTCTGAGTTTTTGTCCTTCCCAGCTCCACTGCCTGTATGTGAGCCCCTATATCCATCTGGGCCCCCTCTCAGGCTCCTGCCTTCATCCTCACATTCTCTCTCTCTTGCCCCTTGCCAAGCCTCCTGTTGGGGATAGGCCGGGCTACCTCAAAAGTGCAGATTAGCCACTGCTCAGATCCACCTACTGCTTCTAGACCTTTTTCCGAAGTTCTAGAGCAGAGGGAAATTCCAGAGGGCTGGTATATACTGGTATATACTGCATCTCAGCTCTGACCAAAGTTTGACCCCTGCTAGCTTTTATATCCAGGCTACTACTCAGCCTTCCTAGCTAACAATCAGGATGTTAGCTCCCCATAGCTTACTAGGAAGGTGCTACATTGAAGAAAAACAAACGAACAAACTTTGCCAAATTGCTAAACGTATCCCATCTTTTCACCATTTCATGTGGCAAGGGTGGGTGTAATAAATCCAGAACAGAAGCAAGCAGGAAACCAACATAGTAGTAGCACAATAGTATGTTCAAAGCTGAAGTTTGAGTTTTACACCTACTGTAATTGAGAGAGTGTTGGCTACAACCACATCAATCCGATCAACTGTGAATGGGTCAAATTGCTTGTCTGCTCGTCTCATGAATTCATGTTTCAGGAGGTATCCACCACCGCCATTGAACTCAAAGACTGCCATGTTTTGCTGCATAGCTAAATCTGAAAAATATAACAGTTGAAGTAATTATTAGCAAAACAATTTCTGATTTCAAATATGCAGGGCCATTGGATCAGCAATGTAGACCATATGCAGGTAGTTCTTTTTATGCAGGATGACTTCAACTTCCAAGCTGACCTCAATGCACTGTTTAATTGGGCAACTATGTGGCAAATGAGGTTTAATGTTGATAAATGTAAGGTTATGCACTTGGGGACTAACAATATGCATGCATCATACATACTAGGGGGGTACAACTGGGGGAATCAGTCGTGGAGAAGGATCTGGGATTTTTGGTAGATCACAAGCTTAATAATGGCATGCAATACCAAGGTGCAGTTTCTAATGCGAATAAAATCCTCTCTTGTATTAAAAGAGGTATAGACTCCAGAGAGAGATATCATTTTACCCCAGTACAAATCATTAGCAAGACATCATCTGGAATATGCAGTTCAGTTTTGGCCACCAATTCACAAAAAGAACATTCGGTAACTGGAGAAAAAGCAGAGAAGGGCAACCAAACTGGTAAGAGGCATGGAGTAGCTCAGCTATGTGGAAATATTAGAGGACCTGAATTTATTCTCTCTTGAGAAGAGGAGATTAAGGGGGATACATCTGGAGGAAAAGAGATGTAATCTCCTTAGACAGCACAGTGGCTAAATGGTTTGCACTTCCGCCTGGCTAGATATAGGCAGGCAAAGGGCTGCATCTGGCCGCCGGTCCATAGTTTGACAACCATTGCCCTATAGCATACCTCCATCAAGCCTCTTTGTTGTGTCCTCCAGAGCAGTTAATGATGAACAAATTCCTATTTCTGAGGAAGTGTAGTGTACATTCCACGCTCTGACTGATAGTCCCATCAGCAGATCAGGGAGTAAAACCTACATTACATTACCCAACACTAGAGGGATTGAATCATTTGGCACCTGGGAGAATGACAAGGCACAGGTGGATAGAGTGTGAACACAGTTCAGAGACACAAGGGTAACACTAAGAACCAGGAACCCATTGAGCTGCTCTTTTCATGCTCCCAACTTTGTGGGAACAGTTTGGGGATGGCCCCTTCCTGTTCCAACATGGCTGCAAACCAATGCATAAAGCAAGGTCCATAAAGACATGGATGAGACAATTTGGGGTGGAGGAACTGAACTGGCCTGCACAGAGTCTTGTCCTCAACGCGATAGAACACCTTTGGAATGAATTAGAGCGGAGACTGCGAGCCAGGCCTTCTCGTCCGACATCAGTGCCTAATCTCACAAATGTGCTTCTGGAAGAATGGTCAAGCATTCCCATAGACACACTCCTAAACCTTGTAGACAGCCTTCCCAGAAGAGCTGAAGCTGTTATAGCTGCAAAGGGCGGGGTCAACTCAATATTAAACCCTACGGACTAAGACTGGGGTGCCATTAAATTTCATGTGCATGTAAAGGTAGGTGTCCCAATACTTTTGGCAATACAGTGTATAAACAGGTACTGAGCAGAGTACTCTAAGGAGCTGATTTATAAAGCAGTAATATGGATGTGGTATGGCAATACCACTACTTAAGAGTACAAAAACTTTAATTCATTGACTTTACATAAAAAAAAAAAAAAAACCCAAGGGGAGAGCGCAGTCATGTGACCAGCTCTCCTCCAATAACGGAGATCTCTCTGCTTAACTATGTAGGGCATAGCGGACTCCACCTGAATTTTAATAATGGATTGTAAAATGCAGGTTGTGGTGTGAGTAGCCCAGCAGATATCTGCTCTCTTTTATAAACTAGCCCCTGACTGCTTGTGCACACGGGCATAGGTGTTTAGCTTTCAGCATGAGTTTGAAAAGAAGGTCAGGTCATTTACATTAATTTTCTTAAAGACCAATTCCTCTTTTTCAGACCATGTTTCATGTTACAACCATGCAACATGGAATATGGTTCCATTCCACAGCTCCTCATCCTTAAAGTGTTACTAAACCCACAACAGTAAAATCAGTCTGTATGTGCAGTAAAGCATGCTTGTTATACTCACTGTGGAACCTAAGGGGTTAATCCTCTGCATTGTGTAAAAGGTCCGTTTGATCCTCTCTTCTCTGCTCCTCCTCTTGTTCAAAGGTCCACATCTTGTCTCCTGATAAGACAGACTGAACCGTGGCCATTCTGCACATGCTCAGTGTAGTGTTTATTGCTAGAGAGGGTTTTTTTTCTTGGGAGAGTGCATGTGATTTGCACAGGACCAATCAGCACTGTCCAGACAGAAGTCAGAGGTTTTGCATCCTCCTAGAGCAGAAAGAAAACTCCTCCTACAAGCTTTAACATGTGCTCTGCTGAACACTGATAGAAGTCACAAGACTGCTCTAACTGCTGATGAGAAACGGTATTTAGCAGTTTATATTTACTAAAATAATTGCACTTGCATGTTCTGTGTACAAATAATTGCACTTCCATTTTCTGTGTACTGTGGGAGACCAGATATTGTGAATGCAGGGTCCTGGGTTTAGTAACACTTTAAACCACCCCCTTCACCTGAATATTGTGGAGCTTCTTCCTACAGCATTCTGTGTGTTTTGGAATTTGGCATTACTATGAGTGGCTCCATCTACATGGTCACGTCATCCAATCTCAGGGATCTGTAAAGGGAGCGACTACAAGCCCTATCTGCCACTGTATCAGAGTGACTCGTAGTTCTCAATGGAACACACATGCAGTGGTGGCACAACACTCATGGTTCATTGATTACTTTCTCAAGCTCTATAACCGTAGCTCCCTACATTGGTATGAAGTTGGAGCTGGGGAACTAGTCTGCAAGACCCTGTCCATTGAACTGATTGTGGTTGCAATACTTTTTAGGGTTAAGTGCAAACAGTTATTAAATGCCTATTGTTTTCTTTTTGCATCGCAGGTGCATTTGCTTTTTTTTTTTTTTTTACATAAAATGAAAAATGATTTTAATGGACCCTTACACATAACTTACCCATAGTTTGAAAGTTCAGGGCCACCATTTGGCAACCCACATTCCAAAACATTTGTGGCATATAATTAGATGAATCCATTCTGGTCCCTTTTGGATAAATACGACTCATCTGTCTTTTGTTGTATCTGGGTGATTTGTATAGGAACAGGCCTTTTAGGATGGTCCACTGAGCTTGAGAGACGGTCTCATTTTTGCTTGTGAAAGCACAGTCTCCACCATGGCAGTTATGATGTCCAAAGTACAGTAAAATAATCATATTCCAGTTTACAGACGTCAAATCAGTGATAGGTTGATTCTGATTGCCTGCAATGAGCTAATGTATATTTTATGTTGCTGTTTATCTTACTGAGTAAGCCTTCATGTGTTTTATTACATCTTATCTATAGTGCTTGGATACGACTTAAACAAGTTTAGCTTGCAATGCTATTGTCTTGCAGCTGTTTGGAATTGTATTTGCATATATTGTATTACATGACATGAATCTTGACCAGAATTGATATCTCCTATAAAGTGCATTTTCTTGCACTATTGTTGATTTTTTAAGATTTGCTATAAACATGAAGATTTATGCATGTCTACTGAAAAGTGACAAGCTATTCTGTTTTAATAGGTTGCTTTGTTGGTATTGATAATGTTTTCTAACTTTGAGTAAGTGAGAAATTAGTATTTAATAGTAATTTGTCTTGCATATATGGTGGTCCTGCCTAATTATTCAACCTTATTGAAAGGAAGTTCATTGCCTCATCTGTCAAATCACAACATATACACTTGATTACACCCTGGCACAATTTCTCCTTCACCACACTACCCTCTCTAGCAAAACATATCATCAGCCATGCATCTAGTCAATGCAGCAAAGCCGTGTGTTCCGATACACTGGCGCACGCCAAATCCCCCAACGTTAACAGATTGACTTTGCCATATTGACAAAATTGCGCAAATGGAAGAACTTGTCCATCAAACCAGGGAGACACCCACACATTATACTTCTATATGGGCATGCTGGTGCTAATATGTGAATCTGCCAGACTATGCGCAATACTTGACGCGCCCACAGTCCACTCACAACTAAAAATAACAGAGGGGGGACCCCCTTACCTCCCTCTTTTTTCCACCCCCCCCCTTTTTCTTTTCTCTCCTATTTTTCTTTTCCTCTCTCTTCTTTTTTGCTCATTGACTATCCTTCTCTAATGTCAGTTTGAAAACACCCCCACCCAAAACTGGTAGGCATGGAGGACTCATCTTACTTGCAGCTTGGCCAACCTATCATACCACAATCTGAAAGCAAGACTAGGCCCATGATTACGATCTAGCATATTTTGGGATCTCGTCTTTCCCCTCAACTCCTCATCTAGACTAACTCTCCAGGTTAAAAGTGTGAACATTTGGTTACTGTTTTTCATTTATATTGTTCTACAGCAATTTAGAAAACTGTTAAATAGTTTTACACCTTGTTTAACTTGATCCATTGTATTGGCAGTGAAGAGAAAAGAAAAGGGTCCATTGTCAACTTCATCATATGCCCAGGCGGCTTTGGACAGGGAGCCATTCTACCCATATGCCACCAGTTGTTGTAGGATACGAGATCCCACTCACCAGATTGTATTACTGTCTACTGATCTGTTTATGTGTATCCTCTTAAAACCTTGAATAAAATTCTTTAAAATAAATAGTTATTTGTCTGCAAAGAATCATGGCATATTTGAGTTAAACATCATGTTGTCAATTTAGCGCACCCATTTATTTATCAGTTGTATGTGTCTAGGGTTAGGTGTGCATTTATGCTATACATTTTTTTAATTTCAATCATTGCTTTTCTTCAGGCAGCATAAGGTTCTTGGTTAAATGTAACCTATTACTCTTTCAGAAAAATAATTTATAAAATGAATTGTAATTTTTCTACAGGCAATAGATGCCTGTCTCAGAGCTCATCTTATTTTAAAATGCTTTTTCTCTGGAAGGTATTTAAACCCTTATTAGAACAAAAGGTTGTATGTCTCTCGCTTACTTCGTTCCTCAAGGTTTTTGCATATGGCTCAAAGCATTTTATTAGGTTTATTATTTAAAAAATATGTATCATTCCTATCATTTTTATTTTTATCTGAAACTCCCTAATTAAGCATATGTATCAGTGTGTAAATAATGTGTTTTTATAAAGGTGCTAGTTCTTGAGGGAGTCTGATCCACATTTATACAGCTCTTATTGTGGGGAATCCCCACTGACAGCAGATGAGTCACTAGTTGTTAAGGACGTGGCTGGTGCCGGCTCCCTAACAACCAGCTATTCCCTGATTGTTAAGGATGCCGGCGGGTGTCAGCTCCTTAACAACCAGCTATTCACTAGTATTCTTTAACCACTTGACAATTGTGCTATAACTGAATGACGGTTGTCCAGTTCTGGGAGGGCGTCATATGACGCGACACAGTTCCCCACACACGGCTAATGAGTAAGGTAAAGTGTACAGGCTTGGAAAAATCTGTATGTAAATGGGTAGAAACTAGCTAAAAGATTGTATTCAGAGAGTAGTGGTTAATGATTCATACTCTGAATGGTCTAGGGTTGTCAGTGGTGTACCCCAAGGTTCAGCGTTGGGACCCTTACTTTTTAATATATTTATAAACAATATAGGGTCTGGGATTAGAAATACCATTTCAGTCTTTGCTGATGACACCAAGCTGTGCAGTGGAATAACGTCCTTACAGGACGTCTCCAACTTACAAGCAATGCACTGTTTACTTGGGCAACTAAGTGTTAAATGAGGTTTAATGTTGATAAATGTAAGGTGATGCACTTGGGGACTAAGAATATGCATGCATCATACATACTGGGGGGGTACAACTGGGGGAATCAATGGTGGAGAAGGATCTGGGAGTTTTGGTAGATCACAAGCTTAATAATGGCAGCAATGCCAAGCTGCGGTTTCTAAAGCGAGCAAAATCCTCTCTTGTATTAAAAGAAGTATAGACTCCAGAGAGAGAGATATCATATTACCCCGGTACAAATCATTAGTAACACCTCATCTGGAATATGCAGTTCAGTTTTGGACACCAATTCACAAAAAGAACATTGGGGAACTGGAGAAGGTACAGAGAAGGGCAAACAAACTGATGAGAGGCATGGTGGAGCTCAGCTATGAGGAAAGATTAGAGGAACTAAATTTATTCTCTCTTGAGAAGAGAAGATTAAGGGGGGATATGATACATCAGTGGTTCATATAGTGAACTCGGTGTAGAGTTATTCACCCTCAGGTCATCACAGAGGATAAGGGGGAACTCTTTATGCCTGGAGGAAATCAAATTTAAGCTCAAAACACAGAAAGGTTTCTTCACAGTAAGAGCTGTGAAAATGTGGAATAGACTCCGTCAAGAGCTGGTTCTGGCCAGCTCAGTAGATTGCTTTAAAAAAGGCCTGGATTCTTTCTTGGATACACAGAATATAACTGGATACTAACATTTATAGGTAAAGTTGATTTAGGGAATATCCAATTGCCTCTTGGGGGATCAGGAAGGAATTTTTTCCCCTGCAGGAGCAAATTGGATCATGCTTTTCTGGGTTTTTTGCCTTCCTCTGTATCAACCGTGGGTGTAGGATTATACCTTTTTTTTTTGTTTTTGTTGAACTGGATGGACTTTTGTCTTTTTTCAGCCAGACTAACTATGTAACAGTGTCAACTGTGTCACCTGGATTGGATGTAAATTTCATTTCAATAAAGGGGTGTTGATGATTTTGGGAAATAAAGTAGATTGGAGAGGCTAGAAAACTTTGTTATGAATAGTAAAGACATCTGCCTCTGCCGCTATCCTCCACTCTCTGCTTTATACTGACATAAATATGAACACTAAGCCAACGCCAATCAAGATTTCCTGTACAAGTCTTCAACTGAGATTGAGTTAAAATGGAATTCCAGGCTATAACTATCTACTCTTAAATCTACTCCCACCCCCTCCTAACTCCTATTCTAGCTACCTTGTAGAAGGAAGATACTTATGCTTAGCTAATCTCATGGCTCTTCTGTCCAGTCAAGTGATCTCTCCAGCGGCTGGCTTCAAGGGAGAGGACAGATCGCCGACAAGGGCTGAAATGTCTGGGAGTTATTGTCAATAATAGGCTCATTATGGTGCAACCGTTGTGGGATGTCCCTCCTCTCCCTTGAAGCTGATCACATGACGAGACCAGAGAGACCTGAGAAGCAGAGAAGAAAGTATAAGCCTCTTCCTTCTACAGGGTAATTAAAATAGGAGTTAAAAGAGAGAGAGAGTGGGAGAAAATTTAAGAGTAAATAGTTATATCCCGGAATTCCACTTTGGATGTTCAAAGCCCTCCTATATCTAGCAGTAATCAGTCACATTTAACTGGACTTGTTGGAAACATTTCATAACTTCTCCAAGCCACTTCTTTAGTTCCAATGAGCATCAGTAAGATTCCCCAGCATTTATATCCACAAAAGGTAGCAGAGAGACAGTAATCCAGTGAACATGGAAAGGCAGATGATGATTGTCCACGAATAGGATGGGAGATTTGAAGTTTGAGGAACCACCCTGTTGTAGTTACATAATCCCATCGAGGTCACTGTACATGGTATGAAAAAACCCTTAGTCTAAATAAAAAAAAAGCCTAATTTCTTGACTCTCCAAATGTAACACATAATTTATGCTTCAACACTTAAAGTGGAATTCCAGAAAAAAATTACTGACAACAACTTTTGTATTGCCTACATTTTAGTTTTATAAATGGCTTATTAGAAGAAATGATCTCATCAAGTCATTCAGGAGCCCTCTTCTCTCAGACCAACAAATGATTTGTAATGCAGAATATGGCTGCTCACTGACCCTTCCATGTAACATTGTCAGTCATTGTTCTCCCCAGCTAGCCAACTCCACTCTGCCACTCAGTTTCGTCCCTCATTTCCCCTTCTTGTGATTTATGCTCATCACATGTTTTCTTGAATGAACACGCCCACCAATATTGTGGTTTCTGTTCTCCCCAACCAGCCAGCTCCTCTATGCCCCATCCAGTCCCACCTCCCATTTCCCCTTTTTGTGATGCATACATGCTGGAGCTAGAAGTGAATGTATACACCCACCGGCTGCCCTGTGTTTGCCAATGCAGGGGGATTGCAGTCATGTGATGGGGGGGAAATACTACATAAAAAGGTAAATAAATGGCACACAAAGAAGTTTAGTGATTGCTTATGATTGCAGTGGCCCATTCAAGACCTTAAAGATTTACAACCACTTTAACCTTGCCCTAACACATAACCCTCAACCTAACCATGACACTTAGCATAACCCTTAACATTCAACATCCCCCCCACCACTTTGAATATCTAACTCAGTAGTCTCCAAACTACGGCCCGGGGGCTGGATGTGGCCCTTTGCTTGCCCTTATCTGACCCTTGGGGCACTTTTTCTCCCACTGATACAAGACACTATTCTTCTCACTGACACCAACAAGGGGGCATAATTCCTGCTACTAACATCAACAACAGGCACTATTCTTCTCACTGAAACAAACCATGAAGCACTATTCCTCCCACTGACACTAACAATGGGGCACCATACTTCCCACTGACACCAACGATGGGGCACTATTTCTCCAACTTACACCAAGAATAGGGCACTATTTCTCCCCCTAATACCAGATGCATTGTTTACTCCCAATGACGTATGACAATTTGTACTCCCAATGGCTACAGTCAGCCCCCCCCCCCCTAACATCTCAAAGCCAGTAAACTGGGCCTATGTTTAGAAAGTTTGGAGACCCCTGATTTAACTCTTAACCTATGATTTAACACTGAATTCGTAGCGGCTAAAATGAGAATTTAACTCATAAGATCGTCACTAACACATCACATACCTTCTAACCTTAACTCTAAAACTTAAACCGAACCCTCTCCCCAATCCCTCATAGAGACCTAACCCCTAAGCTAAACCTTAACCACTTGCCGCCCAGCCACTGTATATATACGGCGGCAGGGCGGCACTCGCAGGCAAAACCACGTTTTAAAACGTGTGTTTTGTAAACAAATAGGGGGCGCGCGCGAGGCGCGCCGCTGCCCTATCTGCCCCGTGGATCACCGCCGCACATGTGAGTCGCGGGGTCACAGCCGGTCCTTAGCGGCTGTTTCCCGGCGATCGGCGGCAAACAGTGACAGACAGCACAGCTGCAGTAGCTGTGCTGTCTGTCACTTCCCTGTCAGCTCGAGGATGAGCTGATCAAGAAAGAACAGTTTCTCTTTCTCGATCTGCCTTGTCCTGTCCAGTACACACCCCCGCCCCCTAGTAAAACACTCCCCTCACTCCTATAACCCTTCCCTGCAAAATAAAGTTAACCCCTTCCTCCCCATTGCCATTAGTACAGTGTCAGTGTTTTTTTTTTTGCACTGATCACTGTATTAGTGTTTTTGGGGATGTCAGTGACCCCAAGTCAGTACCCCCCAATGTCAGAATGTCCGCCGCAGTCCCGCAGTCCCGCCATAAGTCGCTGGTCGCTGCCATAAGTCCCTGATCGCCACCATAATTCGCTGATCGCCGCCATTATTAGTATAAAAAAAATCTAAAAATCCCAGTATCTTTCCCGCCATTTGTAAACGCTATAACTTTCACGTAAACCAATTAATTTACACGTATTGGGTTTTTTTTTTAGCAAAGACATGTCGTAGAATGCATTTTGGCAGAAATTTATGACTAAATTTGATTTTTGCATTTTTTTTACTGGACATGTTTTATAGCAAAAAGTCCAAAATGTTTTTTTTCCTCAACATTGTGTGAAAAAAAGGACGTAAATTTAGTTTGGGTGCAGCAATTGCAATTATCAGTTGAATTAGTGCAGCGCCGAGTAGCAAAAAGAGGGCTGGTCATTAAGGGGGGTAAATCCTCTGGAGCTCAAGTGGTTAAGGTCTTACGAAACCCACAACAGTAAAATCAGTCTCAATATTCAGAAAAGTATGCTTTTTATTCTCACTGTGGAACCTAAGGGGTTAATCCTCTGCATTGTGTAAAAAGGCTGTTTGATCCTGGCATATCTGCCCCTCCTCTTGTTCAGATGTCCATGCTGATAAGACAGACTAAACCCGTAGCCCTTCTGCACATGCTCAGTTTTAGTGTGTATTGCTAGAAAGGTTTTTTCTTGGGAGAGTGCATGTGATCAAAACAGAGCGAAGCATCACTGCCTAGACAGAGGTCAGGGGTTTTGCTTCCCCCTAAAGCAGAAAGAAAACTCCTCCTTCAAGTTTTAATCAGTGCCCTGCTGAAGTCACAATACTTCTCTAACTGCTGATGAGAAAAGGTATTTAGAAGTTTATATTTACTAAAATAATTGCACTTCCATGTTGTGTGTACTGTGGGAGACCAGATATAGTGAATGCAGGGTCCTGGGTTTAGTAACACTTTAAACCTTAAATTGTTACTAAACCCACAACAGTAAAATCAGTCTGTATATGCAGTAAAGCATGCTTGTTATACTCACTGTAGAACCTAAGGGGTTAATCCTCTACATTGTGTAAAATGCTGTTTGATCCTGACTTCTCTGATCCTCCTGTTCTTCCAGTGTCCCCCTCTTATCTCCTGATAAGACATATCGTGCACATGCTCAGTTTGGTGTGTATTGCCTAGTAAGGCTTTTTTTTCTTGGAAGAGTGCATGGTATCAGCATCCTCCTAGAACAGAAAGAAAACTCCTCCTACAAGCTTCAACATATGCTCTGCTGAACACTGATAGAAGTCACAAGACTGCTCTAACTGCTGATGAGAACATTTATTTAGTGGTTTATATTTACTAAAATAATTGCATTTCCATACTCTGTGTACTGTGGGAGACCAGATATAGTGAATGCAGGGTCCTGGGTTTAGTAACACTTTAACTAAGCCATTGTTCTGTAAAATTACCTTGTCCTGTACCCAGAGCATACCAGCATCGAGCTCTGAGTTCTGAGAACTACTGATAATCTAATATTATATGCAAGATAAATGTTTCCAAGATAATTAGCCAGAACAGAAACCTCTAGCCCTGAATGCACAGCCTTTCTGTCTAAGAATGTATATTTATATCTACGAATAAATGCATTATAATAAGACGGGATCAGCCACAAAAGGATACTCAACAAATTGCACTGGGAACTTGGTCAGCAGATCATAAGATTTGGTCTCCACAAATGATGAAATCACATAACTTTGATTCTTTTCTGAATAAAATAAAAGAGAGAAACATGAATAGTTTAGTAAAAGTACATTACCAAGAAGAAACCAAACTGCAAGGTTGGATTTTTTCTCTGACTGCATATTTCTCTGTTGCAGCTAACACTAAAAATTCCCAGTGTCAGCTAGTATAGAGCCTAGAGAGGGTGGTGATATTACCTTCTGTGTCATGTAAAAGTGCTCTGGCCCAGTGACCAGTCACTAGACCCAAGCACTGTAACATGGTAGGGGGCCACATGCCTAGCCATATGCAGAAGCGCTTGATATTTTACAACGGCTGAGATAGAGAAAGAAATGATGGTCGAGCACTGGACGAGTATGAGTCAGTTGGTGGAAGGTGCTTATCAAAAGTACTTTGCCCTACACAGGCAAAGTGACAGTGTCTCATTAAGGTAAGTAACCGGTTAATTGTTAATGTGGTTCTAAAGGATGAAGGTTTTTTTACCTTCATGCATTTCATGCATGAAGGTAAAAACCTTCAGTGCACAGCTCCCCCTGAAGCTCCCCTAATACTTACCTGAGTCTGACTGGGATCCAGCGCTGAGCATAAGAGCCTCGGGTCTCTTCTTCCTTATTGGCTGAAACACAGAAACTGAGAGCCATTGGCTCCCACTGCTGTCAATCATAGTCAGTGAGGAGGGAGAACACATGTATGCCCCCAGAGCAAGTAGTTTTCTAGGGGGGCACTTGGCAGGGGGAAGAGGCCAGCAGCGCTGGCGGGGGACCTGAGAAGTGGAGGATATGGCTACTCTGTGCAAGAACCTTGCACAGAGCAGGTAAGTATGACATGTTTGTTATTTTAATTAAAAAAAGCTTTGCAACCATTTTAAGTGATTGGCCAGCTTTACTCTCCTTTTATTGGCCCTTTATTCCTTGGCTGCATTCTGGCAATATGCCTGTACTTAACAGATCATATATCGTGAGATAAATTTTTAATTCTGTATAAAACTGTATTCTATTCTGTACACTTTTCATGTATTGCACACTGTATGTATGGCCCATGGCACTAATAATGGTTTGATGACATATTCACATTCTTTTAGGATCTGATAAAAAGCTTGCTTGCCTATGTAACACCTCTTGTTACCTTAGAAGTACAATTGTAATACTATTGTCATACCTATGTTATAAAAAACTTGAAATACTCCAAATAAACAGAACATTTTTTTTGGAAAGATGCTGAGTATATCTTTGTGTCTGTTCCCTACTGAAGTAGTTATTGTTAGTTTGGAACCACTGATCAATATGAGGATAGGAGTTGCCTATTTCTAAACATTCAATGTCATATAGTAAGGATAATAAGAGGTTTGGTACAGAAATTCTCTTACGTGCAGAAACTTCAAATGAGTCAAATTTTTCACTGGCTGGACATAGTTGACCAGGCTCGACATCTCTTCATAAGCTGTGGCTTTCCTGCCCAGCCGTACCCTGTGTGAGGGAGAGGTAATAAAGTGAGACCTTGTAGTTAAATACATTTCCTTCTCAATACAAGAAAGACTAATTAATACTTCTGTAAGGGTTATGGGGAAATGTACCTAGTGATATCTAAGATAAATATATATATATATATATACATCATGGCTTAAAGTGCTGGTCATCAGCCAGCAAAAACTCAAAATTTAAAAAGACAGCAACACAGTCCTGTAATGTAGTCGCTCACATATAAATAGTCTCTGTCTCCCAGCACAATTACTGAAAAGCCATTAGAAACTTTCCTCCACAGCACAGTTTCTATGTGCTTTCTTTCTGCAGAAAGAGAGAGGAAGGAAGAAAAAGGAAGAATATGTGTCAGGTCTTAGTGAGCAATGTCTTTGGTGGAAGACATGGGCGACGATAGGGATGTGGAAGTTGATCAGTGAGCAATGCCTGTGAAAGAGGATGTGGTCACTGATCAATATGCAATAAGTGTGTGTCAGTGTGTGTACTAGGTAACATGCAACGTCTCTTGAAGAGGTGTGAGGCACTGGAAATGAACAAACTTTGTATTGTAGGAGTAACTAAATTCACTTCTAACAGGAGACTCCTCCAGTGGCCAATGGCTAAATTTAGTGTATATGGAAAATAGAATGTTGTCCCTTTAAGAATTGGATTAGATTAAAAATTAACCAACCAAAAAGCAAATATGAGAAATGAAGTAATCATATTTGTTCCTTGGTTGGTTAATTTTAAATATGATCCACTGCTTAAAGGAATAGTGTACCATTTTCTCTATAGCTTATGTTAGTCCAGTATTTAGATGTTTGAGTGCTGCTGACCTGATTTACAATCTTTGCACATTTTCCAAAAGCTTTTTCTTTAGTAGTATAAATTTAGTGTATTCTCTGCTGTATCCAGCTGACCTGCAATTCAATTTCAGGTCTGTTCAGGCTTTCCCTAAGTCTGGTGGTTGATTGTTCCTACCTGCTGCTGAAAGAATATCCCAGCAATAGTGTGGGTGGATCAATCCCTTAGTTATGAATAGTTATCTGACCCTAGACAATCCTTGGAAGGTTGACCCAGAAGGTGTCGCTGGGGAGAAGACATATATTTGAGAGAGCCTCATCAGAGCTGTCTCTCTTGGGGTCTCCCCTCCAGGAGGCAGCATGTGTGTGTGTCAGAGTTGATTTTGTTTCTTGGCCTCAGCAGGTGCTATGTGTTTGGGGCCTTGAAGATTCTACCTGTGGAAGTTGGACTAGAGAAGGAAACCTTCACTGAAGAGTGCTGCAGGGCAGCTGGACAGGAGCTGGACATTGTGAATAGGACATTTTGCCCAAAGCTCCAGTTACTGAAGTGATTGAGGGTTAGATGCCAGACGCTGCTGCTAAGAACTATGACTGCTCATATAGGGTATCAGGTTAATTGGCTGTCCACTCCACTTCGGTATTATTTTGAGGCTGTTATTATAGCATCTAAGACTACTGAAGCAGGATTTATCAAGGAATCTGCGTGCCAAGACCTGCATGAGCATCCTGCAACATCATCCCTGTTTTTGTTAAAGATCTGCAATAAATCTTCATACAGACAGCCTTATTATTATTATTATACAGTATTCATAAAGCGCCAATAGTTCACTCAGCGCTGTACATTACAAAGGGGGACAGAACATGTGACAGAACAATAACAATACAATGCAAAACATGAGGGGATTGAGGGCCCTGCTCTTTCGAGCTTACAATCTAGGAGGGAGGGGATGGTGGCACAGGAGGAGATAGCTGTGGGGGATGGGGTGGTAGGAAGAGTGGAGGAGGTTGGCAAGTTAGCAGGGGGTGTGGTAGGCTTCCCTGAAGAGATGGGTTTTCAGGGTGCGCCTAAAGGAGAGGAGAGTAGGTGATAATCTGATGGGTTGGGGCAGGGAGTTCCAGAGGATGGGTGACACCCTGGAGAAGTCCTGGAGGCGGGCATGGGAGGAGGAGACCAGGGAACTAGAGAGAAGGAGGTCTTGTGAGGAGCGGAGTGTGCGTGCTGCGTGGTACTTGGATATTAGGTCAGTGATGTAGTTCAGAGCAGTAAGGTGGATGGCTTTCTACGTCAGTGTTAGGATTTTGAATTTGATCTGTTGCGCAATCGGAAGCCAGTGGAGGGATTGGCAGAGGGGGGTGGTGGAAACGGAGCGGTTACAAAGGTGAATGAGTCTGGCAGCCGTGTTCAGGATCGACTGAAGCAGGGATAGCCAGCGGCAAGGCAGGCCAGTGAGGAGGGAGTTGCAGTAGTCGAGTCGTGATATGATGAGGGAGCGGATGAGCTGTTTAGTGGTTTCTGGGGTTAGGAACGTGCGTATTTTGTCGATGTTGCGGTGGTGGAGTCTGCATGAGCTTGTTAAAGATTGGACTTGGGGCTGGAAGGATAGGTTGGAGTCCAGAATGACGCCAAGTACTCTGGCCTGCGGGGCGGGTTTGATGGTGGCGTTGTTGGATGTGATGGAGAAGTCAATGGGGGGGTGGTGTCCGGGCTGGGGGGAAGACAAGAAACTCGGTTTTGGAGAGGTTCAGTTTAAGGAAGTGGAGTGACATCCAGTCTGATATGTCGCTCAGTAGGTGTGTGATTCGGGCGGAGACTGAGGTGGTGAGGTGGGGGGTTGAGAGATAGATTTGTGTGTCGTCGGCATATAGGTGGTAGTTGAAGCCATGAGAGTGTATGAGTTGGCCAAGGGGGAGGAGGTATAGATGGAGAAGAGAAGGGGCCCTGAGGACGGAGCCTTAAGGGACCCCAACAGAGAGGGGGAGTGAGGGGGAGGTGGTAGTATTATAGGTAACGCTGAAAGAGCGTTGTGACAGGTAGGATGAGAGCCAGGAGAGAGCAGAATCTCTGAGGCCAAGGGAGTGTGGTTTTTTGAGGAGGATGGGGTGGTCAACTGTGTTGAAGGCCGCAGAGAGGTCAAGGAGTAGGAGCACTGAATAGTAGCCATTAGCTTTGGTGGTTAGCAGATCGTTGGAGAGTTTAAGTAAGGCAGGTTCAGTGGAGTGCAGGGGACAGAAGCCTTAGACTGAGCCTGTATTTGCCGGTGTGCTTCTGGGACTGGAGCACAGGGTGGGCAGCTTATGGATGGGAAAGAGAGACCTATTTATTTCCGGTGGCCCCTGGTAATATGTGGGGGCTCATCCGGTATTTCCTAGCCTGGTTCTTTCTGCCTTTTGGCCTTAGAAACCAACAGAAGATTGTGTATTTTGTGCTTTACTGAATGTCCAGTTGGGAGCACAGGCAAGAGTTGCTACAGTGTACATTTTTCTTTTTTGTACTTGTGGAGAGACAGTATTTTTGCAGGGGAGAATAAATGCTAATGAATGCGCATTTTTGTTTGGCAAGCAGAGGGTTTATCAGCATAGCAGGAGAAACTCAGTTACTGGTGGGGGAATTTGGTGCCAGATAAGAAGGGTACAAGCAGCATGCTGTTTGGGTGTAGCCTGCTGAGAGAAGGCACACATGGAGCAAGATAGCACATTGCCATTACTTTGGGTACAGCACTGTGCCAGGACCTGGAAGAGCAGACTCTTCCTGAGGTATTTGACTGGCTGGCTGATACTCAGGAGGACTATTTGACTGACACCAGCGTGGATTGAAATTCAGGGTTCCTGCACCAAAGCACCAGAATTCTCCCTATTAGCAGCAGAGATGCATGAGGCTCCACCAAGCTAAGAGGGGTGGATGAACTACCCCTGCCTTAGGCTGGCTGCATTTTGTGTATGGTTCTGCTGTATCCAGCTGAGCTGTAATTCACTTTCAGGTCTGTTCAGGCTTTCCCTAAGCCTGGTGGTTGATTGCTCCTGCCTGCTGCTGGAAGAATATTCCAGCAATAGTGTGGGAAGATCAATCCCTGAGTGTGGCTTAACAGAAGATAAATATTTGGGAGAAGCTGACACATTTATTTCTAGAAGCCCCTCCGGGGGTGATTGCTACAAATGATCTATCAGTCTGTCTGTCTATCTATCTATCATAAAGCATATATAGAATGTAGGATATAAAATGTCATATTAAAATTATTGCCTACATTCTGCTGTGGCTGTTTTTCTTTAACCACTTGCCAACTGCTCACAGTACATGTTCTGAAGGCAAGTGGCAATCATGCAAATTAATGTATAGGTGCATGATTTTGCCTGTACAGACACAGGGGGGCGCTGCTCCGGACACAGCAGAATGCAGATCCCAATACTTGTGACCCGGTGATCATACGATCTTCATTGAACCAGCAATAAAAGTGTCAATCAAAATTTAAAAAAAATCCCTGATCACCACCCAGAGTAGTACAGTGTTACTATGGACAAAAAAAATATAAAAAAATGTTCAAAATTAATAAAATATTTAAAATATTGAATAAAAAATTAAAATTAGTGAAAGTTTTTTTTTAACATGTCATCAGTCAGTGTCCCTGACCGCCGCCACATCAGTCATATCATGACACTGTACTGCGCTGGTGACGGTATGTAGAAAAAAAATAGAAAAAAAAAAAAATGTGTTTAATTTCTTCATTTTCCAAAACAATTATGACAAAACATTACAACTTCAAAAAATTTGCAATGCCTCTTACTAAACACCTCAGACTGTCAAAAATGGGTAATTTAGGAGGGGTCCTGACATTTAAGGGCCTCAAAAAATGAGATCGTCCATCAGTACATCAGAACTGATCAATTTTCAAATATATATCCCATAGTTTGTGGCTGCAATAACTTTCCTACAGACTAAATAATATACACTTATGGCCCCTTCCACACTGACAGTCTGATCGCGTCCACCTGTCAGTTTTTCAGGCGGACCCGATTGGACCATCCATAGACTTCTATGGACTGATGGGTGTCAGCGGACAAGTATCCGATGACACCCGCCAGCATCCGATCCATTCCTGAACACCAAAAACAGATGGATTGGGGATCTGTTCTCCATCCGTCTGGTGGATTGGATCGGATGGCAGTCAATGGAAATGGATAGGCGGTCAGTTTCCATCCGACCAC